CAGCGCGGCGGCGGCCAGAAGCGCCAGGGAGCTGCGCGCGCGGTTCTATGGCATCCGCGACGCGGCGGGGGACCTGGCGCGCGCCGGCGTGGCGAGGATCAGGCGATGGGCGCCGCAGTGGCAGTGGCAGTGGCGATCGTTCGCTCCTCCTCCAGGTTTGGCGTCGCTCCCCCCCATTGCCGCCCTATCGCGCTCGGCGGCGTCGTCCGTGCGCGGCGTGGCCGCGGCCCCTAAGGTGCTGCTGCTCGGGCTATTGATATTGCAGCTGCTGGTTCTCGGGGTTCTTCGATCGGCGCCATCGGCAGGGGCATCGCATGGGGAGCTGGATCACGCCCCGATCGGCAGGACGCTGTACACTGTAGCGGCCAAGAACAGGCCCAAGGATTCGTCGGTGGCTAAGATCGAGAAGAAAAGCTTGGGAGCTTTAGAACAGGGGCAGGGGCATCTACCAGAGGGCGATCGCTCAAAGCAAGCGGAGAAGAAGGAGGAAGAAGCCCAAGGGAAAAGTTTCCTGGATCGACCTCGCGGAGATGTTTCCAGATCGGCTGTTCTAGACAATGCGGCTTCGTCGGTCCGAGAGGTGGAATCGAAGGAAGAAGAAGTAGAAGACGAAGGTGGAAAGCTACTGTCTCAAGGAAAACGGGATTCCCAGCTTGGCGATGGCGAGGAAGAACTGGAAAACAAGGATTCAAATGGAAGAGGACTAGTCTCTCAAGAACAGCAGCAAGCTCAAGTCGGTGGCAGCGGTGACGAAGAAGTGGAAGGCGAGAAAGACACCGATTCAGAAGAAAAAGGCGAGGAATCCAAGGAGGCGTCCATACTCGCATCCGAGAACGCGATCCTAGAGGAGGATCCGGTGTGCAAAGGCGGCAGGATCTTCGTCTACGACTTGCCACCACGCTTCAACGCCGACTTGCTCGCCAATTGCTCGACCCTCAACCCGTGGCTCTCGCTCTGCGACGCTCTCTCCCACGGCGGCCTCGGCAAGCCCATGACCACGACTCCATGGCCGTCGTCCAAGCCGTCCCCCTGGTTCTACACCGAGCAATTCAGCGGCGAGGTCATCTTCCACACCAGGATCCTCCGCCACCCCTGCGTCACGAACGATTCCGACTCAGCCAACGTCTTCTACGTGCCATTCTACGCGGGGCTGGACGTCTCCCGGTACCTGTGGAGACCGTCCAAGGCCGAGGACCGCGACCACCTCGGACACAAGCTCGTGGAGTGGCTCTCGACCCAGCCGGCCTGGACTCGGGCCCGGGGCCGAGACCACTTCACCATGATCGGGCGGATAACTTGGGACTTTCGGCGGCCCGAGGAGAACGCGTGGGGTAGCGGGCTGCTCAACATGGCCGAGATGAAGAACATGACCCGGCTGGCCATTGAGAGCAATCCCTGGGAGGGTGGCGAGTATGGAGTTCCATATCCGACGAGCTTCCATCCCCATAACGAGCACCAGCTGCAGGAGTGGCAGGAGTTTGTGAGGAACAAGGAGAGGGGGCTCGTGTTTAGCTTCGCCGGCGCTACCAGGAAGAGGATTCCGAATGACTTCCGGCTGGAGCTCCTGGCGCAGTGCTCGGACAGCCGGGGGGCGTGCTCAGCCATGGACTGCTCGGACAGCAAGTGTGAGACGCCCGAGCCCGTGGTCCAGCTCTTCCTCAACTCGACGTTTTGCTTGCAACCCCGGGGTGACGGCTACACCCGGCGGTCGATCTTCGACTCGGTTCTGGCGGGCTGCATTCCCGTTTTCTTCTGGAACCAGAGTTCCTACTGGCAGTACAAGTGGTTCTTCCCGGAGGAGGACGAGAGCTACTCGGTGTTCATAGACAGGGAAGACGTTCGCAAAGGTACCAAGATCATGGAAGTTCTGTCGAGGTTCTCGCAGGAGCGAGTCAAGGCGATGAGGAACACTCTGATCGATGCTCTTCCCAAGCTCGTGTATGCTACAGCGGATCACGAGCTCTCCGGGGCCGACGCTTTCGACACCGCCATCGATGGGGTCCTCCGGAGCATGCTACGGATGAATCTGAGGCTACAGAAGAGCAGTGGCTAGCCGCGCCAAGGATGATCCTTGCTTTTGGAGACAAGAAATCTCTCCCGGGGGATCTCTCTTCGGGAAGAGAAGGAGGAGATGACAAAGCCAGGCGTACGCATCCACTGTTTGTATGTAATGCTGTTCTAGCTGTGAGAGATTATGTTCTTCTTTTCCTTTGTTTTTCGCTCTTGGTTGGTGTTTGTGGCTTTTCTCTGTCGCTTTTGTTTCTCCGTGCTGCCAGCGAACGACTGGTGCCAAAGGACATATAAAATCTTTCGAGTGATCCCACCATGACCTATTTTTCAAATGTTTGAAATGATTCTTGAGGATATGCGCGTTTCTTGTATCCCGATTTTTTTACCAGAGGAATGGATTTTTTTTCATAGAAAAAGGTGTTTCACGCGTCTGGGCACATGATATCGACTAGAAGATTGGTTTTGCGCTTGTCATTTTGGTGTTTTCTTTGTTTCTTGAGCAATGTTGGCATTTATTTCTTTCAGGTGCTGGAAATCGTCTGGTACATGCAGGCGGTTGGATCCTAAATATTTCAGCCGTGAGAGGTGAAGCTTGTAAGTCGAGAACTGTTGCTTGATTTGAGCGTTGTCTGGTGGTTTTGGTGTGGAACCTGAATTTATGTTTGCTTGTCCTTGAGACGCTTCTCGCCCTGTTCGTGCTGCTCTGTAGAGCTGAGCTCGCGATTGATTGATACCTTGGTCGGGTGTCCAAAAGCACGACAGCCTTTCGTCTTCGTTTTTGTTGAGACGAGAGCAACCGGACGGCATGGAAAAGCGCGCGCCAAGAGTGCGGTCGCAGCGCAACAAAAGGCTGGTTATCGAGCAGGACACGATCGATCAATGTCAAAGATCATCTTACAGTAGAGCTCTTATAGCAAAAGCTAAAGTTTCTTTTGCTCTTGCTCTCAAAGACTTGCACTCTGGTGAACTTTTGGTGGATAGGCAGAAAAAGCATGTTATGTGGGGCATCACAGGCTCGTCATGTTGGTCAGAGCGGAGCAGCACACTCACACACTCACACTCGAGGTACAGTTGCCAAGCCAAGTACTTGCACTAGATTTATGAAGCAGGGGTGCTTTTTTGGAGAATAAAGACTGCTCTGACGCTTTCACTTATTTTAATACTGTCCAGGCCAGGCTCAAACCACGCAGCAGCACCAGCCAGCACCAGCAGCGGCAGCAGATTATATAGATCGAGCAGCAGCAGCAGCAGCAGCAGCGGTGTGCTTGTTATGAGACGATATTGATTGATCCCATTGACCAACGAGGAAGGATTAAAGAGCCTGAAAGCGAAGACAACGAAAGTTCCCACCACCACCACCACCACCACCGGTGTATTCCCTTTGAAAGGAAACAATCATCTCGTGGTGGTGAGGTGAGTGGTGCTTTTTTAATCAGTACATCACGCATTGACTTACAGCCGGGATCTACTCAAAGGAGCTAAGTTGAAAGTCGGGGAGAGCTCACGCCACTCGACTAGACAAAAGGAGAATCCATAGGAATCAGTCGATGCATGCTACGGAAAGCAGGGACAGGCGCAGACAGTGGACTCAAAGTCGAATTTATTGGAGCTCCTAGGCGGCCCCGTAGCTTGCGCCTTGAAACTAGGCCAAGAGAACTTGACCGAAAGGGGATCAACTCTAGGAAGTAAAGAAAACGAGGAACTCAATGACAGGGATGGAAAAAGTATCAGGACTTGACCGGAGGAGATTACAGGAAAACGAGGAAATCAAGCACAGGGATGGGAAAAAAATACCAGGACCGAACAAGGCATAAAAAAAAGGTAGGAGTTCATGGAGGGGACCTCGACAGCAACTTGATCGAGAGAGCAAGCTGGCGGTGGGGAAAATCTGGAAAATGGATCAGTTGGGTCAGTGTAGCTTGCTCATGACTTTGCTGGAAGCTGCGAAGCACCACTGGCCAAAGTGGAGATGGAGCAGGCTTTTAATCGTCGGGATGCATGCGTGGAGCTACATGTATACTTTCATGGATGGCACAGAGTGGTGGAGGGACGGGGGAAAGTACTTTGGTTTCCAAGGGAACATAAGTGGCGCGACAGGGACGGGCTGTGCTACGAGTAGACTTCCCTGTACGAGGCATTGTCAACGAAGTAAGTGCAGAGGTGGTGGTGGTGGTCTCTAGAGAGAGTTTGTTGGATGGATGGAGAATTGATTGATTGGGAAGGGGAGCAAGGATTGGTTTTGGATTGGAATGGAGCATAAGAGAAACAGATCAGGGGGGGACTTGAGCAGCAGCATGTAGAAAACGAAGCAAGCCAAAGTATACGCGTGATCATCCGTGGAAGACATGGAAGTCGATTGGTTTTTCGTGTAGTGGAGAACTGGAACAGCGGGTTTGGGAAGTTTGTGCACACTTCTTAATGTTCCCTGGGCTGCTGCTGCTGCTGCTGCTGTTGTCTCCTCCTGGCTAGCACGGCAGAAAAGAGGAGCGAGGAAAAGACACTAAATGTGTTTGCTCGTCTCGAGGTGGCGGAAGAACAGCGCTTGGAAAACTCGGCGAGGTGGTGGGATTGAGGATTAGATAATGGCGATTCAGGTGATTTGCTTAGCATGCTTCTCGACGGGGCAGCCGAGAAAGGTTTAGAAAACTGCCGAGGAAAAGCAAAGCGGGCGGCTCAAGGTAAGCGTTACTGTAATCTTTGGCTCCATGTCTCATGCTTTTCGATTAATCGATGGCAGCATCCAACCCCACGAACGACGAGAGAATAGTGGAGAAATCAAGGCTTTTTTCCCGTGGCGGTTTTTATCACTGGCAGCAGCAAGATGACAAGCGAGTACTGCGACCGAAAGCAAAGCAACCAAAAGAAAACAAAAAATTAGATTTCTTCCAGAAATCAAATTCTTTTCGCGCTGATCAAAAGATTTGAATGAAAAAACACATTTTTCTGGTCGGAACTCTTATATAAGAGCTTCTCGTCCATCATCTCTCCCATGTAAGAACAAGCAGTCAATCTTTTGGCATTGCCATGATAGCCGAGAAATAAAGGAAAAAAGAATGCAAGGAATGCCCCATTCATTCCTATAATTGCTACTGCCAGGAGCACAAAATCGCAACAACAACACACACACTCACACTCTCACACATAAGAACACGCTTCCTTGTTTTAAACGCTGCCAGGAATTGAGGAGAAAGGACGCCTTTTGTTCCTGCGGTTCCTTGATCTCTTCTTGGAACTTCTTTTTCCTTTTCTTTTCTATCCTCCCCTTGCTCGGATCAATCCATGTATAACTCGCTTGCTTTCTCGATTCATTCATCGAGATTTCTTTTGCTTCCTCGTGGTTGTTTGTTTTGTTTCCTTCCACCGCTCGTAAATGCTCTCCAACCATCGCTGATAAACTCGTAGTAGAATACTCGAGCTGGAGTTCTTCGCCACTATATAGCTCTCCTTTCTCTTTCTCCACCAAATTCTCCTACTCTCCCCTGTTTCTGTTTTTTTGGGTTTTTTTCTCTCTCATTTCTCGTTACTGGGTCTCGAGATTTCAATCCAAGACAGCGACTTGGTGCCCTACTGGATCAAGCAGTCCATAGGAACACCATGGAAATCCTCCACGCAACAAGACAATGTAGAAGAAGAAGAAGAGCATAGAAGGAAGAAGAATAAGAGCCCAATCGCTTCTTTCCAATCTTTTTTCTTGGCCTCCCTCTCCAATCCATGGACGATCGCGCGCTATCCCGGCTGCTCGGATTCGTCACCATTGCAATCGCGGCGAGCACTGTGAATTCCGGGCGAGCTGGAGCCGCTGGAACGAATGAGGATCTGGTGGATTCACTGCCCGGCCAGCCCGCCGTCAATTTCAAGCACTACGCTGGCCAGATCGTCGTGAATGAGAGGAATGGCCGCGCGCTCTTCTACTGGTTCTTCGAGGCGGATCATCCCAATGCTTCTTCCCTCCCGGTCGCGCTGTGGCTCAATGGAGGTATATAAACATTTTAGAGCAATCGCTAGGGTTTTTATTTTGCCTCTCTTCTTGTTCCAATCGCTCCAGTGATTGATTGATCGCATTGCGTTTCTGGCGCCAGCTCGCGCTTCTCGATCTGATCGTGTTTCTTGATATCTAGGGCCCGGGTGTTCTTCCGTCGGCAATGGAGGTCTGTCGGAGCTGGGGCCGTTCACGACGAATGACAATGCCACCGGCGTTGTGCTCAACAACTACTCCTGGACCAAAGGTATGCGCCTGAAATCGATCAATCTTGCTTCGTTGTTTCTATGGATCGATCGATCTTTCTTCACTGTTTGTATGGATCAGAGGCCAACATTATTTTTCTTGAGTCGCCAATTGGTGTTGGCTTCTCCTACTCGGAGACCAAGTCGGATTTCGAGGAGTTCTACGACAAGAGAATAGGTGGGTGAATGTATCAAAGCTCGTCATGAAAATCGTTTATCAATGGTTCTTCGTTGGGTGCAGCGAAGGATTCCCTCGCTTTTCTAAAACTTTGGTATGAGAAGTTCCCAGAGTACAAAGCCAACGAATTCTACATGATTGGAGAAAGCTATGCAGGTATCTTTTGCTTTTCTAATCTTTGAGAGTATCACTCCTGTATTATATTGCTTGCTTGCAGGACATTACATTCCAACCTTGGCATGGCAAGTCCTTCTACACAACAGAAAAGTATCAGCCGAGGAGCGTATAAACCTCAAAGGATTTGCTGTAAGGTTTCGCTGCTTCTTTGTGTTGATTTAAACCTTTCGTGTTGCCTCCTTATAATCAGATTGGAAATCCGTGGACAGATGCTTACTATGACAATCGCGGCACCACCGAGTTTTTCCACTCTCACTCGCTCATCTCCGATGAGACATACGCGGGTTTGCTGAACTGTGACTTTGCGAACGATCTTCCTATCGATGCTCGCTCCAACAACTCGAAATGTCGACAAGCTTTAACTCAGGCTGACATCGACATGGAGAAGATCAACATGTACGATGTCTTGGCCGAGTCGTGTAATCCTTTGCCCGGAAGCTCCTCTGCAAGGAAATCTCGCGTAAGCTCGTCACTTAATTTTTCTCGTTGCCTCTGATCTTCGATAATTCTTCCTTGCAGCAGAAGGCGTTTTACCTGGCTGCAGGATATGATCCATGTCTGGATTCAGTAACACCGTATCTAAATCTGCCCTCCGTTCAGGATGCATTGCATGTGAAGAAGACACGCAAGTGGTCCGGATGCAAGTAAGCGTTAACTTCTTTTCATTCTCATATACTGTCATATCATTGATTACGCGAACGCTTGTACGCAGCGATGTGATTTACAGCAATTACAACCGAGCGGATATTGTTAGATCGATGCTTCCACTGTACAGAAAACTCCTACAGACGCACCTTAGAATATGGATATACAGGTGAGTGCTCCATTATATTGTGCTTTTTTCTTGAGCGTGTTCTTTGCAGTGGGGATGTTGACGGAGTGGTGGCAACCATTGCGACAAAATCTTGGATAAGTCAGCTCAATCTCACCGTTCAAATACCGTGGTACGCATGGGACTTCAACAACCAGGTACTGGTGTTCTTCAATAGTTTAGATAGCATCCCAACGGCGAATCTCCGACACAGGTTGGAGGCTGGACACAAGTCTACAAGGGAATGACATTTACCACAGTCAGAGGCGCTGGACACATGGTGCCTGCCACAAAGCCGCAACAGGCACTTCAAGTTTTCAAGAGCTTCTTGGCAGGAGAAGCGTTGCCCAGCTTCCCATGAACAATAGGAAAGAGAGAAAGAAAACAAACACAAACGAACAAGACATAGCTACGCGTTCAAGGTTCGCGAAAACTATTCGTTCTAATCAGCTAATAATCCAAAATTGTTTTACAATCGTCAAAAGCTTGTCTTTGGAGAGAAGATTGTTTTCACTTTGGCGTAACAGGGACGGCTGGTGGTCAGCTGGTGGAGTTTTCGGAGTGGTCCATTTCCACGTACAAGATATAATAATTTCGAAATTCTATTATTGTTGGCCACTGGAGATATTTATATCTCGCATTTCTGCGAGTTTCGACACTGATGGACGCAGCATTCGCTCTTTTTATTCTACTTACTTCATTCCTTACAGCTCTAGCAGCGGATCCATCTCATCTTGTTTCCAAGCTTCCTGGACAACCTCAAGTTAACTTCAATCAGTATGCTGGCCAAGTTACCGTGAATCCAACCACAGGGAAGGCACTTTTCTACTGGTTCTATGAGGCTGATCACCAAAACAGTTCGCTACAGCTGCCTCTAGCGATCTGGATGAATGGAGGTAAGTTTTGTTCTTCAGAGCTCAAAGCTTTATAGGATCTCGGATGCTTTTCAGGCCCAGGATGTTCTTCGGTCGGAGCTGGAGCCTTGGGAGAATTGGGACCTTTTAGAACAAATGACGCAGGCTCGGGGCTTGTTCTCAATCCATACGCATGGAATCAAGGTACGTAGAAAGGTTGTTTTTATCGTCTTCAGGGCTAAGAGCTAGCTTTGCTTTCGAGCAGTGGTCAATCTTATATTCCTCGAGGCTCCCCACGGCGTTGGATTCTCGTACTCCAACACAACCTCGGATTATAACCAATACAGTGATGATATCATGGGTATAGGATATATTGCTATTGCAAAGAATTGATTGATATACCGATTTGCCTGCAGCATCGGATGTTCTTGTGTTCATCCTGGAGTGGTTGAAACGCTTTCCAGAGTATTCAAAGAACGATTTTTACCTCCTCGGTGAAAGCTACGCTGGTAAAAATAACGTGTTTCAAGCTCTTCACTGTATGAATTTGTTCTTGCAGGGCATTACGTTCCGACTTTAGCTGCAAAAATCCTCGACTACAACAAGAAGAAGGCCGGAGCTTTCATTAACTTCAAAGGATTTGCTGTAAGGCTTTGCTCGTCCAAAACGTTTCTACTCATCTGGTGTTTGACGCGCAGCTTGGTAATCCCTGGTCGGACACATACTCTGACAACAAAGGCGACACCGATTTCTTCCACAGTCATTCGCTAGTCTCCGATGAGATCTACAACCAAGTCGTCGCCAACTGCGACTTCGCCAAGGATCTTCCAATCGACAATGGCGATGCCAATCCGCTGTGTGGGGTCGCAGTCAGCGCCATGTTCAACAGCATCCAGTACGTTGACACCTACAACGTCTACGCCCCTACGTGCAACCAGCAAGATCCCAACGGGACGATTTTGAGCCAAACGCTGCGAGAAAATACTTTCATGCACACTGAGATGCTGGCTGCTGCCTACGATCCATGCGCTGATACAGTGTCTCCATATCTCAACTCCAAGGACGTCCAAACCGCTTTACACGTAGAATTCATGCCTGGGAAGTGGTCATTTTGCAGGTAAAACCTTTTTTCTTTTCTCTCTCTCGAACTTGGTTCACATGCGATCTATGTTGTGATGCAGTCGAGCAGTGAATGGAAACTATCCGAGAAAGGATATCACGAATTCAATGCTTCCACTGTATCGCTCGCTGCTGAAAGAGGGTCTCAAGATCTGGCTTTACAGGTACAACTTTGACTTTTACTTTCATGACAAGAGCGCAACTTTCCCTTTCGCATGTAGTGGCGATGTCGATGGTGTTGTCTCGACGATCGGGACGAGAGCGTGGATCAAGCAGCTCAATCTCACCATCACGCAGAAGTGGTATCCTTGGAAGTTCCAAGACCAGGTACTATACTAAAATACAAACTTGTTCTTTTCCTTGTTTCGCTTGATCATAGCTCGACCTTGTTCCAGGTCGGCGGCTGGAGTGAGAAATACGCGGGGCTAACGCTTGCCACAGTGAGAGGCGCTGGTCATATGGTTCCCTTTGACAAACCCGAGCAAGCGTTGCTATTGTTCCAACATTTTGTCGATGGAAGCTCACTCCCAAGCTTTTAGATGCCAAGCGAAATTTTCAACGTTGTGAGGCTCCACTCCATTCTAAAAATCTTTGCTCCAATAGATCTAGCCTCCGACGTGGCATGGTGGGCGCTGCCACATCTAGTATTTTAGTATCATCCTCATCCACTTGTTAACCTTTAGCGGGCGAAGGACACATGTCCTTAGCTTCCTCGAGAAAATGCCTGCGTTTTCACTGGCACTGTGAGGTGATTTTATATTTCTTCCTCCTTTGCTTCTAGGGCTTTGTTTTTGGGAGCGAGAGCGAGAGGCGATGGCTGGAGCGCCTGGCGATGTCGCCGAGCTTCCTCCGCGCCTGGCGATCATGCTGTTTAGGAATCGAGTCCTGCTCCCGGGAGCTGTGGTGCGCATCCGATGCACGTCGCCGACCAAGTAAGCGCTTCTTAGGCCATCGCGTAGAATTTGGGAGCTAAAATGCGGGCGGTTTGATCGTTTTTCTCCCAGCGTTAGGCTGGTCGAGCAGGAGCTGTGGCAGAAGGAAGACAGGGGATTGATTGGAGTTTTGCCTGTCAGGGATTTGCAGCAGTCCGATCCGGCGTCTCCGCCTCCGCCGCCACAGCAGCAGCAGCCTCCCCCAACTCAAGGCAAGGAAAATGCCAAGAACTGTTTTGGGAGTTACCTGTGTGCTGATTGCATCTCCAGGCGATCGAGGTGGAACTGCGCTTCCAGATTTCCAGCAGTGCCTGGGAAAGCAAAATCAAGAGCTCGTGCAATGGCATCCCCGGTAAGAATTCCAGAGTGTTTCCTGATGGATCACGTAAGAATGTTTGTAGGGGTGTAGCAGCCCGAGCTTTGCATCTCTCTCGTGGCATGGAAAAACCAAGTGGTCGGGTTACGTACACCGTCGTTTTAGAAGGCTGGTGTAGGTTCAGTCTCAAGGACATGAATGCTCGGGGATCATACAACACAGCTCGCATTGGTCAGCTCGATATGACAAAAGCAGGTAGCGTTTCCTCTTTGATGAGGCGCTGTTGTTTTACTGCTTTGGTTTTTTTTTCTCGTAGAGATGGAGCAGGCGGAAAAAGATCCAGAGGTGCAACTTCTGGGACGACAGTTTAAAGTTGTTGCTAGCGAATTGATCTCTGCTTTGGAGCAGGTATTCTATCGGTACATGTTCTCGAGTTGCTGATTGTTTGACGTCGTAGAAGCAAAGAACTGTGGGCCGCACGAAAATATTACTCGAGACAACCTCTGCCCACAGGCTTGCCGACATCTTTGTTGCAAATTTTGAGAACAACTTTGAAGACCGGCTAGCTATGCTAGACGCCGTCGACTTAAAACAGCGACTTGTCAAAGCGACTGAAATCATAACGCGCCATCTTCAGGTTCGTGCTGACTTTCGAGTTAAGAATCCAATTTAAAGTCGTATACTGTCTCTAGACAATCAAGGTAGCCGAAAAGATATCCCAGAAAGTGGAAGGAAATCTCTCGAAGTCTCAAAAAGAGTTTCTTTTACGTCAACAAGTACTGTATTTCTTATGATCCGCAAGTTCTCTTTGTCCCTCATGCCGCTTTACAGATGAAAGCGATCAAAGAGGAGCTCGGTGATAACGATGAGGACGAAGATGATGTGGTTGCTTTGGAGAAAAAGATGCAGAATGTGGGAATGCCGGCAAACGTATGGAAGCACACACAGAGAGAGCTGAGGTAAGATATAATTGTGTCTCTATTTTCAGCTGAAATCTTGCTGCTTGCCATTTCATAGGAGGTTGAGGAAAATGCAGCCTCAACAGCCAGGTTATGGAAGCTCAAGAACTTATTTGGAACTCCTTGCTGAATTACCATGGCAGATAAGTAGCGAAGAACGTGAACTAGATCTTGTTGCAGCAAAGGAACGGTTGGATAGCGAGCATTATGGGCTGGGAAAAGTCAAGAAGCGGATTATTGAGTATTTGGCTGTACGAAAAGTATGTAAGCTATCTTCAATCTTCTTTCCTTTCTAACTAATATTTTTGACAGTTAAAACCCGACGCGAGGGGCCCTGTCCTCTGCTTCGTAGGTCCTCCGGGTGTAGGAAAAACATCCTTGGCGTCTTCAATTGCTGGAGCTTTGGGAAGGCTTTTTATCCGCATTTCATTGGGCGGAGTGAAGGATGAAGCAGACATACGAGGTCATCGTAGAACATATATAGGAAGCATGCCGGGTCGACTGATCGAAGGCATTAAGGTATGGATTGATTAAGTTTTTTATTCCTGATGTTTTCATCATATTGCCAGCGAGTGGGAGTCAACAATCCGGTCATGCTTCTGGACGAGATCGATAAAACAGGTACGGATGTCCGTGGTGATCCGGCATCTGCTTTACTGGAGGTCTTAGATCCGGAGCAGAATAGGACGTTCAATGATCAGTACGTAAAGTACCTTCGCTTTGGTCATGCTTTTAACTTGTTTCTTTGCAGTTACCTCAACGTTCCATTTGACTTATCCAAAGTGGTTTTTGTTGCCACGGCCAATAGGATTCAACCAATTTCACCGCCTTTGCTTGATCGCATGGAAGTGATTGAGCTACCTGGATACACTTCTGAAGAAAAGCTGTGTATAGCTATGCGACATCTCATTCCTAGAGTTTTTGATCAACATGGCATCACTGTGCAGCATTTAAAAATTCCAGAGGTATAAACTGAGTTTCTGAAATACTTGGTTTACCATTTCCGTGTTTGCAGGCAATGGTGGAGCTTATTATTCAGCGTTATACTCGTGAAGCTGGAGTTCGTAATCTAGAAAGGCATTTGGCAGCCCTTGCAAGAGCTGCGGCTGTCAAAGTTGCAGAAAGAGAGCATTCCATTCACGTTGCTCGAGAAGTTCAAGCTCAAACAACAACTACTACAGTAGTAGAAGGTGGAGAGGTCGCGGACGGGGAAATAGATATGGAAGTCGAGGCCATGGGAGTGCATGGCCGTGACTTGGCTAACGCGATTGCTGGGGTGGAGCCATGGCATGTGGACGAGGCGATGGTTGAAACAGTCCTTGGTGTAAGCTATACAATTTCCTTCTCTGTTTTTTTCATTGTCACTAAACTATTATTTCTCTACAGCCACCTAAGTTTGATGGCAAAGAAGCGGCTGAAAGAGTGTCCACTCCCGGTGTGGCCGTGGGCCTTGTCTGGACGGCCGTTGGTGGTGAAGTTCAATTTGTCGAGGCCACGGCCATGACAGGGAAGGGAGATCTTCATCTCACAGGCCAGCTGGGAGATGTTATCAAAGAATCTGCTCAGATTGCTCTCACATGGGTATGTTTACAAAAAACTTTCGCTTGTATTCAATTGTTGAAACAGGTGAGAGCACGAGCTGCCGAGTTGAAGCTTGCAACTGGCGCGGAAAGAAGTTTAATGGATAGTCGAGATATTCATATCCACTTTCCAGCAGGTGCTGTGCCGAAGGACGGGCCCTCCGCCGGTGTTACGCTTGTTACGGCCTTGGTGTCTTTGCTAGGGAAGAGATGCGTTCGTGCTGACACCGCAATGACTGGTGAAATGACACTACGTGGTCTTGTGTTACCAGTAGGAGGAGTGAAGGACAAGGTAAGCTTTCAGTAATTCGCCTGCCTAGCTTACGAGTGTTTCCTCGCAGATATTAGCTGCTCATAGGTTCGGCATCAAACGTGTGATACTCCCGGAGAGGAACTTCAAAGACTTGCAAGAGGTTCCAGCAAACATACTCGCCAACGTAGAGGTAAACAGTTTTAAACGCTCTAGAGAATCGGGTTTGTTCTGACCCCATCCGCTTTGCAGATTTTATTGGCAAGGAGAATGGAAGACGTTCTGCATGAAGCCTTCGAAGGTGGTTGTCCGTGGAGAATCCAAGCACGGATGTAGTGTAAGATTATCGTTATCTATTACACTGACATTAGTTTCTCTCGAGACTGTTTGTAATCTATTTCAGCTAAAGGTGTGAATATTTGCCAGCAGCACATAGCCAGCGGCATTGTCCGAGTCGTGCTTCAGAAGAGACTCGGCGGCAGAAGCGCCATGCCAGGAACTCGCGTGACAAAGGCTGAGGAAGCATCGCCACTCGTAAGCATCAGGCGCGAAGGGCATGCTGGTGATGAGCTCCGCGGCCTCCTCAAGGTGTCCCACTCGGCCTAGCAGATTCAGGAAACAGCAGTAGTGCTGCTTCGAAGGCTCAAGTCCGTGATCCAGGCTCAGCGACACGAAGCAGTTTCTTCCTCGGAACAACTTCCCGGCGTGACTCAGCGCGAGCAAGACTAGCACGAAGCAAGTATCGTCGGGAGCCTCGGTTACTTGCATTTCATCGAAAGAGGATATGGTTTGAGGGGAGAGGCCGTTCTGGGCATACGCAGCGAGGATGGCCTTCCAAGAGACGACGTTTGGGTCGGGCATAGTTTGGAAGACCCGGGTGGCTTTGGCGATATGCCCGTTCTGGGCATATCCCGAAAGCATGGAGTTCCAGGTGACCGTGTTACGCTCGGGCATCCAGTGGAAGACTTGGATCGCCTCCTTCAAGTTTGAGGTCTGTGCGTATACCATTAGCAAGGTGGTGAAAGATATAACGTTGCGCTCTGGCATGTTATCGAAGAGAAACTTACACTCTTCCAGGTATCCTTTCGAGGCATAGGCTGCGAGCATGGAATTGTGAGAGAAGAGATCCCTATGAGTCATTTGATCATACATTGTGCTGGTTTGCTCCAGCCTATCGTTAAGAGAGGAAACGTGAAGAATAGAGTTGCATGAAACCAGATCCGGTTGAGGTATCATTGAGAAGACAAGCTTGGCCTCTTTCAGATACCCATTCTGGGTATATGCAGAAAGCATCGAGTTCCAGGAGACGGTGTCATGCTCCGGCATCTGATCGAATATCCTCTTTGCGGTTTTTACATGGTCGCTTCGTGCGTAGGCGCCGAGTAGAGCCGTCCAAGTTACGAGATTGTGATAAGGCATCTCCGCAAAGTAGTCAGTAGCCACATCAAGATGCCCTTGTTGGGCATACACTGCAAGTATTGCCGTCCACGAGATAATGTTCTTTTCCGGCATCAGAGCGAAGAACTTTGTAGCCTCGCTGATACTGCCAGTTTTTATGTAGGCAGCAAGCATAATGTTACACACAAGCTGGTTTCTCTGGGGCATCGTGTCGAAGATCCGCTTCGACTCCTGCAGATACCCCGCCTGGGCAAGCGCGCAGAGGATAGAAATCCACGAGAAGATGGTCCTGCTGCTGGGCGGGATTGCGTTGAAGAGCTGGAGCGCGCCGTACGCGTCGCCGCGCTTGCCATGTGTGTAGATGAGCCGGTTTGTGGATGAAGCGCTAGAAGGCAGCAGCATAAATGAAAGTTCATTTAGTCAAACACAACGTATTGTGTTGACTATACGCGGGTGGGTGAGGCGAGCTGGGTCAAAGCGTTGCGCGTCTGGTATGCCAGAGCATCGATCGATCGAGTTAGAACATTTCGAGATTAGCATGTGAAGCATGATCAGTGGACGCGTCTTGTCGACCACGGAGCTCCATTCCAACCTTGTAAAGTTGTACTGCGAAAGACCATTTGGAAGGTGCTGCTCTTTTCCGCTCGAAAGCGCTCGAAGTTGTTGACAGGATGGCTGTAGCAATCAGGTGTGTTCGACTCGCGCAAGTTTCTGCTTATACTCCCATTTGTTATCTTTGTCACAGGACATTGTCGTGAAGGAAGGCTTCCTAAGATTCAGTGTGTGAAGCCTTGGTAGCGAGGAATGCAAATGCTGCTCGGCTATTCAACCAGCGGCCTAGAGGTTTGCGAGATTCTAGGCACAGAGAAAGGCGCCGTGATTCACCTGGCCAGCCTTCTCGCTAGCAAGGACCAAGACCTCTCTCAGTTGGCTTTTCGGAACTAAGTCAAACGTTGGCCGAGGCAGGAAGAATTCAACGGTTGCTTGCACGTCTTGCGAAGGTAAGTAAACGTCGTGCCCATGCCTTTTGGTGTACTGATCTTTTGATCAACCAAGAAACTCGGATCAAGGTGGCAAGTTATCTCGCAAAGAGACACATGATGAAGAACCAAGTTAAGCTCGTTGCTCAGTCTGCGCTCATTGCAATGGCAACCTTTATCCGCATTTGGGGACAGGTGCTAAGTCCGTTTCAGCTGTTTGTGACTTCTGCACACAACAAGGAGCTTGAAGCCCTCGTCAAACTAATGCCGTACGTCCCCTTGCGTTCAACGAAAAAGCAGTGGACATTGTGTACATTCTACAGGACGGGACACTCATATGGTTGCTTCATGGGAAGCAAGACAGAGCAAGATGTGCCACGAAACATGGAAAAAGGACCTGGCATAGCAAAGGTGAAGGTGGAACAAGAAGTGCCTGGGGACTGAGAGATGGAATTGCATGTGAGAACACCTCAGCCTGTGCAAGTTACTAGTTACTAGGGGAAAGCTGTGCCACCACAACCAAAGAATCATAGAATGGCGCAAAGAAGCTGTCAGGAGACTCAATGAATTTCTTCTTAATCTTGACTTCCGTACTTTTAAGCTTGAGTTTCCAGTTATAAATCTTTGAGTTTTTTGCGCAGAAGGCCATCCAAGTGGAGCGTTTCAGCGATAGTGCTCACACAACAGTATGCAAGGTGGCGATGGTACAGGACAGGTGTTGCTCAAAATCCTGTGTCGCCAACAACCGCTAACAACTGCACAAACCACAAAAGAGATGTAAAGTATGGGCCACAATCTTCCGAGTTGATCTGGAAGGAAGTCATGGCTCCTCTGGTGGTTCCCATTGGTCAGGGCCCACGAAGCCATACATAAAAGCTGGGTCGGTCTTCATATATCTGTGTGCTCTCCTCTCTGGTGGTTTTGCAAAACTCGTCCGGCCGCTGAAAGATTCCACCCATTTGACAACGTAAAATCCATGCACCTTAACTAGCTGAAAAATGAACCTGGGCTTTTGGTTTCTCGTCAAGAAAACCATAGCAAAGGATCGTTCCTTGATTTCTCACGCTGTCTGGTATCTAAGCTGCTGGAACGCGCTGTGCCACAATGACCTGGAGATTACAACAAAGAAGCAAGAGGAATTATGAAAGAAACTAAAAGAAGGGCTTACTTTGGTCAGTGCACCTTCAATAGCGTCATATGCCATTTTGCACTATCTAGAGAACTATTTCCTCAAGTTTATGAATTTCAAAATTCTTTTGTTTTGGAGGCGACGAAGTCATAAACTACAAAATTGAGGATGTTGTGGAGGAAGTGAAAACGATCACAAGCGGTAATATGGCATATGACGCTATTGGAGGTGCACTGAGCAAAGTAAGCTCTTCAGAAACTTTCACAGACAAACTATTATCACCCTAGGAACTATTTGACACGCAAGAGCTCACCACGAAAATCAAACAGTAGAACACACAAATATATAAAAGACAAACCCGGCTTTTACGTATTGACTTCTCCCCCGCTAGAGGCTCTCTTCAAGATCAACTCGAAGATTGTGGCAGTGGTTTTGCTGAAAGATTCCACTTGACAACGTAAAACCCATGCACCTTAACTAGCCGAAAAATGAGGTCGATGACATTCATTTGGGCTTCTGGTTTCTCGTCAAGAACACTGTAGCAAAGGATCGTTCCTTGGTCTCTCATGCAGGAACACACCACCTAAGTGTGAAAGAAACTAGAGGACCTCCAACAGCGTCGATTGCCCGTATGCCATTTTACCACTTGTGATCTTCTTCAAATTTGACTTCGTCACCTCCAATGGCCTTGAGCTCTTCCTTTTGCTCGTCTCTAAAAGGTTGATGGTCTAGGAAAAAATGCTCAAAAAGAACAATCGATCGATAGAAATTTTGCAGCCAGACCTGCATGTTATCAAAGAGAAACTTACAGTCTTCCAGATATCATTTGTAGGCTGCGAGCATGGAATTGTGAGAGTCATTCAGGCTATCGTTGAGAGAGGAAATGTAAAGAGTCGAATTGCATGAAACCAGGTCCGGTTGGCTTCTTTCAGATACCCATTCTGGGTATGTGCAGAGAGCATCGAGTTCCAGGAGACGGTGGCATCTGATCGAAGATCCTCTTTGCCCTTTGTGCGTAGACGCCAAGCAGGTTAAAGGCATCTCGGCAAAGTAGCTTGTAGCTACATCAAGATGCCCTTGTGGGGCATACGCCAAGATACTGTTCTTCTCCGGCATCAGACCGAAGACCTACAAACAAGATGGTTTCTCTGTGTGTCAAAGATCGCGTTAGAGTACAAATGAGTTTTTAGGTCAAACACAAATTTATGTTGACTTTATGCGCGTGAGTCGAGCTGGGTCAAAGCGCTGCGCGTCTGGTGCATCGATCGATCGCGTTAGAACAGGTGAGAATGTGGCTCGCGGCCGTGCGGCCTATCAACTAGGTTTTGGGGAGGCGCGCCTTGCAATTGGGCGGCTATGGCAAGCCCGGGCGTTGCCGTACTGCTCAAGGAGCTCAGCGCTGTCATCCAGGATGCCAATGCGATGATCGCCAAGAAAGAGAGCATCAAGGAGCTTATTTCTTTCCTGGAAGGGATCAAGGAGGTGCTGGATCGGGAATTGGGGGATTTGAGGATGGGAGAAGGCGCTGCCAGCGCTTGCGCGGCGCTGACGAACAGTGTGAGGAAGGCGCAGGGCATGGTTAGCAGGCACAAGCGTAAGCGGCGGCTGTATATGATCGTTTGGCTGCGTGTGCTCAACCGTGAGGTGGAAGAGGTCGTGCGTGGATTGGAAAACTCGCTCGCCCAGCTCCAGGACGCGAGCAGCTCCTTGTCAGAAAATTCCAGATCGAAGCTCGACAATCTCATCTCGAGAATGAAACAAACAACTTACGAGGTAAGAGTCACTCAAAATAAATAATGGGAAAAGAGAGTTTTCTTTACCAGGTTCCAAATGCGGAGGAGGATGAGACGCGAAATCTGCTAGACCTCGACGCTGACTCGCTCATCGTGAAGTTCTCCACGGATCTGGGCATTAACTTCGAAAGAGATAGGGAGCTCTTGTCTCGAGAGCTCCGGTACTTCAAAGCGGATATCAGCACCGAGGACAAGGACGAGCTGGAAACCATGGTGGAGGAACTTTTGAGCACTCTGGCTTGTGAGAACTCGGCATTGCTACAGACTGACAACGAGGCGATACCATCGTTCGATGCCTTCGAGTGCCCGCTCACGAAACAAGTCATGAAGGACCCGGTGGTGCTCGAGTCGGAGCACACCTACGAGCGGAATGCAATCGAGGAATGGTTTCGGACGTGCCGGGAGCAGGACAGGGAGCCGACTTGTCCGAGCAGTGGACGCGTCTTGTCGACCACGGAGCTCCATTCCAACCTTGTGCTGCGAAAGACCATCGAGGAGTGGTACCAGAGGAATGTAGCGTTTCGAGTGCAGAGCGTGGTGGACAGGCTCACAGCTGTGGAGCTCATGCAGGACGTGGACGGTGCTCTCGACGAGATCCTCCGGCTTTTCAACGAGAACCCGATGAACAAGTGGAAGATCAAGAGTGCTAACCTCATCCCCAAGATTGCAAAGATCTGGAGCTTGGAAGGTGCTGCTTATTTCCGCTCGAAAGCGCTCGAAGTTCTCGACAGGATGGCTGTAGACGACGCCGACAATCAGGTATGTTCGATTCGCAAAAAGTTTTCTGTTTGAAAGTAACTTAGGCTCTCTTCTGCTATCTTTGTCACAGCACATCATCGTGAAGGAAGGCTTCTTAAGATTCAGCGTGCGAAGCCTTGGCAGCAAGGAAGACGAAGAGAAAGCAAATGCTGCTCGGTTACTATACCATCTCTCAACCAGCAGCCTAGAGGTTTGTGAGGTTCTAGGCACAGGGAAAGGAGCCGTAATTCACCTGGCCGGCCTTCTCGCTAGCAAGGACCACGACCTCTCTCAGTTGGCCGAGAAAACTTTACGGAACTTGGAGCAAGTAGAGTCAAACGTTCTGGAAATGGCCGAGGCAGGAAGAATTCAACCCTTGCTTGCACGTCTTTGCGAAGGTAAAGAAACGTAGTGGCTATGCTTTGTGCTGTACTGATCTTTTGATCAACCAACAGGACCCCAAGAAACTCGGATCAGGATGGCAAGTTATCTCGCAAAGAGACACCTGGTAAAGAGCCAAGTTAAGCTTGTTGCGCAGTCTGCGACGCGGAGCCTCATTGCAATGCTACCCGGCACACTGGAAGCAAAAGAGGCAAGCCTGGGTGTTTTCCTCATGCTTTCGTCACTGGCCGACAACAAAAGCTTGCTGATTGAGGCCGGGATACTTCCACCGCTGCTAGACATCATGTTTAGCATACACTCGTCCGTCAACAATCGGGCACTCAAGCTCAAAGAGTGGGCGGCGGAGGTGGTGAGCAAGCTTGTGTCGTCCCGCGGGAGCTGGGAGAATGCAAGCATCGATGCCGAGGGGACAACACTGTATTCCGAGTTTGTGGTACACAATCTCTTGGGCCTCATGGCTCACGCCAGGCCGGACTGGAAGCACACGCTGTTGCAAATACTTACGGGAATGGCTTCGTCTCCTGATGCTGGAGGTAAGTTTCTTATTTTCTTTAGCTCTCTTAACGTAAAATGTTTCTTTGTGCAGAGGAGGCTTGCGAGCACATACGAAGCGGGCATGGAGTAAGAATTTGCGCTGTTTTTCTATCGGAAACTTCCGTGGACAGTCACCGGTTACACGCGTTAAGACTATTAGCAGTCATCGCTCCTCGCTTGGGGCCGGACATAGTCCGAGAGTTCCACGGGACAGAAATGGCGGCGAGGCTACAGGCTCTCTTAAGATCCACAAACACCGAAGAGCGAGCGGCGGCTGCGTTTGTGCTCGGCGCCATCCCGATGACAGAGAAAGAAGTGTCCCAACACTTAGAGCCCGAGCTCCTGGAATGGACACTCACTACCTTAGCCAGCTTAAAGGACAGCAAGCGCGGGCGGTCGCACACGCGGCTTTTGTCCGAGACGATCGAAGGCCTCCTGGGAATCCTCCTCCATTTCCTCCGCTTTAATGCGCTCTCCCCGCCGGCGACGCTGAGGCAGCACGACGTGATGACGCTCCTGGTAAACGAGCTAGACCGGCAAGGCGAGTTTGTGATCAAGCACAGGGCCGCGATGGGAATCAAGTGCCTGTCGAACATGGCCGCAAGCTTGTGCAGAAAGCCGGAGCTTCCACCCACGACGTGTTTCTGCTTTCGCTCCCGGCCGGGCAAGCTCTCCTGCTCGATCCATCCGGGAGTGTGCGATCCAGCCGACTCGGTGTGCATGGTGGAGGCCAGAGCGATAGTTCCAGTGCTGGAGCTGCTCGAAGAGGAGGACCAAGGTGTCCAGCTCGCAGCGATGGAGGCGCTCTCGACGCTGCTGGCGGACTCGAGCAACCTCCGAGGGGCGGTGGAGGAGCTGTGCAGAGTGGAGGGCCTCCAGAAGATCCTGGAGCTCTTCTACGGGCTGCAAAAGGGGGAGCTCCAGGACAGGACGGCGTGGGTGGTGGAGAGGATCGTCCGGGTGGACGACTTGGCCAAGTCCTTGTCGGTGGACACCAAGCTCTTCAAGGCGCTGGTGGAGGCCTTCAAGTTTGGGAGCGCCACGACCAAGGCGCTCGCGCAGGACGCCCTCACCAATCTCAAGCAGCTCTCGGGTGTTAGCGCGGGAGTGCGACGAAAAAAATGACGAGAGTTGCCGTACTTTGGAGAGTCCATAGCAACATCAAGTTTTTGCGGCTCTCTGTTGTAGTGGATATTCTAAGAATATTCAAGTGATATTCCTCAATCTAACATCAAATTTTGTTTGTCATTGGATGACCTAACATCATATTCATTTTTCCCTTTATGCTAGAATATTCTAATCACACAACCAGTAGTTCTTATTATTTGACACTGACCAGCAAAACTTTCCCACCTCGGCCTATCGACTGCACAAACCACAAAAATTAATCGAGTGAGAGGTAAAGTTTTTGGAGAGAGATGTGTGAAGACTGACCAGGCTTTTACGTATTGCTTCCGGGGTGCTGTCGAGTGGGAACTTCTCCCCAACAAGAGGAGCTATGACTCCCTTCGCGATCAACTCAAAGATTGTGGCAGCAATTTCGCGAAACTCGTCGGGGCTGCCAAACGATTCCACCCATTTGACGACGTGAAATCCATGCACCTTAACTTGCCGAAAGACGAGGTCGCTAACACCCACTTGAGCTTCTGGTTTCTCGTCAAGAACACCGTAGCAAAGGATCGTTCCTTGGTTTCTCACGCTGGAACACACCACCTGGAGATCCCAACAAAGTTCTAAGCAAGAGGGATAGAGAAAAGAAACTAGAGGAAGAGCTTACTTTGGTCAGTGCGCCTCCAACAGCATCGACTGCCCCGTATACCAATTTCCCGCCCGTGATCTTCTTCACTTCCTCCACAACATCCTCGGTCTTGATGTTTATGACTTCGTCGCCTCCAATGGCCTTGAGCTCTTCCTTCTGCTCGTCTCGACGAACAAGATTGATGGTCTACACACACAAAAGGAAAGAAACGCTCAAATCGATCGGCAGAGAAATTTTGCAGCCATACCTTCACTCCTCGATGCCGCGCGAGCTGGATGAACATCCTCCCCAGCACGGATCCAGCAGCTGTTTGGAGCACATACTCTCCCTTTGGAACGTCGAGAGTTTCCAGCATTCCATACACTGTCAATCCAGAGCAAGCAAGTATAAAGAATATATAGAAAAAAGACAAGCAAACCTGTCCAAGGATTGATAAAAAACTGCGCGGCAACCTCGTTAGAGATGGTGTCGGGAATGGGAATTATCTCGCTGGCCGAAGCAACAGCGTACTCTTGCCAAGATCCCACCTCCTTGAAAATATGAAACACTCTCTGCCCCGGCGAGAACCCGGTGACTCCATCCCCGAGCTATGGAAAGATTTTGGGAGAACACGAAAGAATTGGAGAGAAAAGTACCTCTTCAATCACTCCCATTCCCTCGAGCCCAGGAACGAATGGGAACTTCTTGGGGTTGTCACCGTACATGCCTTGGATGCGCAGGATGTCGGAGGGATGGATTGGGCGACACAGGATTTTGAGCAGCACTTGGCCGGCGCCTGGCTTGGGCGTGCTCACCATCGCCACCTTGCATCCCGCCGCGGGATCGTCATTGCTGAAACATTCCACTTGGATGGCCTTGTGTTTCTGCTGCTGCTGCGTCATGGATGAGGATTACAAACTGCTTTCAAAGCAAAAAGTAGAACATTTATAGAGCCCACCTTTCTAGTGTCGTGTTCAACTCAAAGACGATTAAGGGGGAAAAACAAAAGAGCTTGCATAGACCACATCAGTCACAGGTTCTTTGTGGGACTGCGCTTAAATCCTACCGCAGCTTATGCTGTCAAGCTCGGTGGAATAGTTTCGCTCAGCAGTGAGGACCGATACCATGAGAGAGAAAAGCTACTCTGTCGATTCCATGGGTTTCACCTCTATCGAACTCTCAAGATTCACAAGAATGTTCTGCTCATCAGAAAAACCTCAAACGGTTGAAAGCAATAAGATTACGAATAAGAACACCTACCAGGCTTTACGAATCGCTTCTTTTGCTCTCTCGAGAGGGAACTTCTCCCCAACAAGGGGAACCATAACTCCCTTGGCCATGAGCTCGAAGATGGTATCGGCGACCTTGCGAACGCCGGGAGCATCGAATGTGTTACACCTTGACAGATGGAACCCATGTAGCTTGACTTGTCGATTGATAAGGTCGCGCACATCGGCGTGAGCGTCCATTTTGCCATCGAGCACACCGTAAGAGAGCACTGTTCCTCTGAGTCTCACACTCGAGCACACCACCTTTTGAGCAAACTTTGCAAATCAAAACGCTGCTTCACGAGGACAAGAACTTACTTTGGTTACTTCACCTCCAACAGCGTCGATGGCGGCGTAGGCCATTTTACCACCCGTGATTTCACTCACTTGCTTCACAATGCCTTCGTCCTTGAGATTGATGACCTCGTCAGCGCTTCTCCGACGAACAAGGTTGATGGTCTGCCACCAAAGGTTTGAAGTTCCAAATCACTTCATCCAACGTTCTAATTAACCAATCGCTATCCTTTGGCCGTTGCTTGAAACTCTTTACAGCCTGTGCTAGCTTTACAAGGAGGAACACGATGATACTACGATATCGTGAAGTTTAAAGTTTTCTCCATACAACAAAAATGTATACTCGAGATCACGGAACTCTGCAAAAGTAGGAGCTCCAGGACAAGCGGCGTGATGAGTTCCAAGACTATTTGAGTCCTCTCTGTGGACATCAAGCCCTTCAACCCCGCCTTTCGCGCGGAAGACCAAAACGAAGCTCTCTCGAGCGAGTTGCTCAGGATGCCTTGGCGAGATCTTGAAGGCTGCCAGGCTCGCACACATTTCCCGGAGAAAGTTCGCTTTGTTAGTAGGATGGAACTCGTCCCACCAGGGATAGGAGCTCGCGTTGCTGCAAGCCATCTGCGGGAACATGCACATCATCTAGCCGCCGAATCTCCCAGCGCCGCAGCAGGCGCTTCGAGACGTGACGAATCCTGTGGATGAATATGAAGAAACTTAGCTCTCTCAGTTCTAACAGTGGAATAAAACAACGTACCATATTGGAGTGGAGTTCGGACGATAGGCATGAGGCTCTGGAATACGTCGCAGTAGATGATCCTGATATCGAAAATCACACCAGTGAGAAGCAAAGTCTGGATGGAGAAGAGAGGAGAGCAAGCGAATGTGTGAAGACTGACCCGGCTTTGACGTATTGTACTGTCGAGTGGGGAGGAGCCATGCAACTCCCTAGCAACTCAAAGAATACGGCAACGGTTTTGCGGACATCACTGGGACCGCTGACCGATTTGACAACGTAAACTCCGACTTGCCGAAGATGAGCTCCTGGTTTCTCGTCAAAACCACCGAAAGCTCTCTTTTAACTTTCATTTATGGATCGTACTTGGTTTCTCACGCACGCTGAATACCAGAACCTAGAAGCAAGAGGGGTAGAAAATACAAAAGAATAAAGAAACTAGAGGGAGAGCTTACTTTGGAGAGTCCATATCTATGTCAAGTTCTCTGTTGTAGTGGATATTTTAAGAATATTCAAGTGATATTCCTCAATCTAATGACATTCAAATTTAGTTTGTAAACTCCTACACAAGAATCTCAATCAATATCAATTAAATTGCTATGCATTGCATGTAGCAATGTTTGGTTTGCTTAATAGTAGTTTTATTATACTTATTAATCCAATTGATTAAATAAAAATTATAATTATAAGCATGTTTGTAATTTATAAATACAAGATTAATCATATTGCATATCAACCATTAGATGATAGAATAAAAAAAATATACTAGAAAGGGTTTAATAAAATTTATATGCTTAAGCAAACTTGTTGATAGTAAATATATTTAAAATATATTTGAATATTCTAAAATATTTTATCATCTAACGGTTGCTATTCATTTAGATTAATCTTGTATTTATAATTTATAAACATATTTATAATTAAACCAAAAATTACAGATTCTTGATTTGTTAACCAAACATCATATTCCCCTTTATGATAGAATATTCTAATCACACAACCAGTAGTTCTACTATTTGACACTCACCAGCAAAACTTTCCCACCTCGGCCTATCGACTGCACAAACCACAAAAATCAATCGAGTGAGAGGTAAAGTCTTTGGAGAGAGATGTGTGAAGACTGACCAGGCTTTTACGTATTGCTTCCGGGGTGCTGTCGAGTGGGAACTTCTCCCCAACAAGAGGAGCCATGACTCCCTTCGCGATCAACTCAAAGATTGTGGCAGCAATTTGGCGAAACTCGTCGGCGCCGCCTAACGATTCCACCCATTTGACGACGTGAAATCCATGCACCTTAACTTGCCGAAAGAGGAGGTCGATAAGGTCCACTTGAGCTTCTGGTTTCTCGTCAAGAACACCGTAGCAAAGGATCGTTCCTTGGTTTCTCACGCTGGAACACACCACCTGGAGATCCCAACAAAGTTCTAAGCAAGAGCGATAGAAAAAATAAACCGGAGGAAGAGCTTACTTTGGTCAGTGCGCCTCCAACAGCATCGATTGCCCCGTATACCAATTTACCGCCCGTGATCTTCTTCACTTCCTCCACAACATCCTCGGTCTTGAAGTTTATGACTTCGTCGCCTCCAATGGCCTTGAGCTCTTCCTTCTGCTCGTCTCGACGAACAAGATTGATGGTCTACACACACAAAAGGAAAGAAACGCTCAAATCGATCGGCAGAGAAACTATGCAGCCATACCTTCACTCCTCGATGCCGCGCGAGCTGGATGAACATCCTCCCCAGCACGGATCCAGCAGCTGTTTGGAGCACATACTCTCCCTTTGGAACGTCGAGAGTTTCCAGCATTCCATACACTGTCAATCCATAGAAAGCAAGCATAAAGAATATAGAGAAAAAAGACAAGCAAACCTGTCCAAGGATTGATAAAAAACTGCGCGGCAACCTCGTTAGAGATGGTGTCGGGAATGGGAATTATCTCGCTGGCCGAAGCAACAGCGTACTCTTGCCAAGATCCCGCCTCCTTGAAAATATGAAACACTCTCTGCCCCGGCGAGAACCCGGTGACTCCATCCCCGAGCTATGGAAAGATTTTGAGAGAACAAGAAAGAATTGTAGAGAAAAGTACCTCTTCAATTACTCCCATTCCCTCGAGCCCAGGAACGAATGGGAACTTCTTGGGGCCGTCAGGGTACATGCCTTGGATGCACAGGATGTCCGAGGGATTGATTGGGCGACACAGGATTTTGAGCAGCACTTGGCCGGCGCCTGGCTTGGGCGTGCTCACCACCGCCACCTTGCATCCCGCCGCGGGATCGTCAGAGCTGAAACATTCCACTTGGATGGCCTTGTGCTTCTGCTGCTGCGCCATGGATGAGGATGACAAACCAAAGCAAAAAGTAGAACAGTTATTGAGCCCACCTTGCTAGTGTCCAACTCAAAGACGACGAAGAAATTAAGGGGGGAAAACAAAAGAGCTTGCATGGAAGTCAAGACCATCTCATGTCACAGGTTCTTTGCGAGACTGCGCTTAGATCCTCTCTCAGCGTAGCTTATGTTGTCAGGAAATCCAGCCAAGCTCGGTGGTGATGACCGATACCATGAGAGAGAAAAGTTACTCTGTCGATTCCATGGGTTTCACCTCTATCGAACTCTCAAGATTCACAAGAACTTTTCATAGCAAAAATGTCCGTGTGGCTCATCTAAGAGCTGACCAACAAAACTTTCCCACCTCGAGCAGTAGACTGCATCGCCAAAAGACCTCAAACGGTTGAAAGCAATAAGATTACGAATAAGAACACCTACCAGGCTTTTACGAATCGCTTCTTTTGCTCTCTCGAGAGGGAACTTCTCCCCAACAAGGGGAACCATAACTCCCTTGGCCATGAGCTCGAAGATGGTATCGGCGACCTTGCGAACGCCGGGAGCATCGAATGTGTCAACCCACCTTGACAGATGGAACCCATGTAGCTTGACTTGTCGATTGATAAGGTCGCGCACATCGGCGTGAGCGTCCATTTTGCCATCGAGCGCACCGTAAGAGAGCACTGTTCCTCTGGGTCTCACACTCGAGCACACCACCTTTTGAGCAAAACCTTGCAAATCAAAACGCTGCTTCACGAGGACAAGAACTTACTTTTGTTACTTCACCTCCAACAGCGTCGATGGCGGCGTAGGCCATTTTACCACCCGTGATTTCACTCACTTGCTTCACAATGCCTTCGTCCTTGAGATTGATGACCTCGTCAGCGCCAATGGCCTTGAGCTCTTCCTTCTGTTCGTCCCGACGAACAAGGTTGATGGTCTGCCACCAAAGGTTTGAAGTTCCAAATCACTGAACTACAAATGTAATACCTTGACTCCTCGATGATGCGCTAGCTGGATAAACATCCTTCCCAGCACTGATCCAGCAGCTGTTTGCAGCACGTATTCTCCCTCCGGGACGCCAAGAACTTCCAGCATTCCAAACGCTGCGGGAGAAACCAGAAAATCAAGAGGAAACGGCAGACCCAAGCACGACCTGACCAAGGATTCACGAAAAACTGAGCGGCGATCTCGTTCGAAATCACGTCCGGAATGGGAATGATGTCTGCAGCCGGGACGAGAGCATACTCTTGCCATGATCCTGCGCCTGGAAAGATATGGAACACTCGCTGCCCCCTTGAAAAACCGGTCACTCCGTCCCCAAGCTGCAAACTCACAGAGTTGAGCACTGGGCGATCTCCTAGCTAGTCACGAGCTTAAATTACCTCTCGGATTTCTCCCATCCCTTCAAGCCCAGGAACGAAGGGAAACTCCTTGGGAACGCCGGAGTACCTCCCTTGGATGCACAAGACGTCCGAGGGATTCACCGGGCGGCACAGCACTTTGAGCAGCACCTGACCGCGTCCTGGCACTGGAGTGGGAGTCATCACCACCTTGCATGCTGCCGCCGGATCGCCATCGCTGAATGCGCCGACGTGAATCGCCCTGTGCTCCGCCATGGACGACCCCAAAGTGAAGGCAAGCTTTTAATTTGGTCTATCTTTCATCCAACGTTCTAATTAACCAATCGCTATCCTTTGGCCGTTGCTTGAAACTCTTTAGCTTTACAAGGAGGAACACGATGCTACTACGATATCGCGAAGTTTAGAGTTTTCTCCATGCAACAAAAATGTATACTCGAGATCACGGAACTCTGCAAAAGTAGGAGCTCCAGGACAAGCGGCGTGATGAGTTCCAAGACTATCTGAGTCCTCTCGGTGGACATCAAGCCCTTCAACCCCGCCTTTCGCGCGGAAGACCAAAACGAAGCTCTCTCGAGCGAGTTGCTCAGGATGCCTTGGCGAGATCTTGAAGGCCGCCAGGCTCGCACACGTTTCCCGACCATATATCCCTGGCAAGGAGAAAGTTCGCTTTGTCAGTAGGATGGAACTCGTCCCACCAGAGATAGGAGCTCGCGTTGCTGCAAGCCATCTGCGGGAACATGCACATCATCCAGCCGCCGAATCTCCCAGCGCCGCAGCAGGCGCTTCGAGACGTGACGAATCCTGTGGACGAGTTTGAAGAAACTTAGCTCTCTCAGTTCTAACAGTGGAATAAAACAGCCTGTGCGTACGTACCGTATTGGAGTGGAGTTCGGACGATAGGCATGAGGCTCTGGAAAACGTCGCAGTAGATGATCCTGAGGTTCCTGTGCTTCATTGCGAGGCTCTGAGCCGTGACCCTCAACGCGTTGTTGAACTCGGCGATCATGAAGTTGATGCTGTCGACGCAGCCAGCGCCCGTCTGGTTGAAGGTATAGAGGTAGAAGGGAACGCAGCCGAGAGGCCCGAGTCCGATCGTCACAACCTTTCGAATGCCTCGGGCATACATGTCCTGAAGAAAGAAATTTGTTGAAAAACGAAAGTACAGTGTCATCCTACCTCGATGTGTCCAACTAGAGAGGATATCAGCAGCTGGTTGAACTCGAAGTTGGTCATCTTATTCTGGACGTCCGAGACGTTCCTTAGGTAGTAATGGATGAAGTCGTTGCTGCCGATTGAGATGTAGTGAATCGAGTTGGAAATGACAGCGTTGGCAGCGTCCTCACCGATTTTGGAAGCAAGCCTTTGCTGTATTTCGACGATGTGCTGCACTTGCTCTGCCATAGGAATGTGTTGGCCCTGATCATCCAAGAAATCAATCACACAGATAAAAACTTCCTTATAATCTAGCAAACAAAAGCAACGAGAAAACTTACAAGGTCCGATCCACTTGGATTGAGAATGCCGGCACCAGCAGAAGCAAAATTCACTCCTTGCATCTGAGATGTGAAGTTCCTACTCAAAAGCGGAGGAACAAATGGAAGTCCCAGAAACAAGGCTGAAAGAAAAAAAAAAACACACAAGAAGAATTAACTTTGTATAAGAGATATCATCAGCACCTAGATAGTCGACGCTCAAACGGCCATTCGAAAATCTCCCAGTGGGGAGGTGAGTGTCGAAATCTCTCCCGTATGGAGCAAGGTTGGCCCTGGCGATGGTCTGGAGATAATTGTTGTTCCCCACGTCCACAGTGGAGTCGCCATAGACGAAGAAGCCCGGCACAAGCGGAGAAGTGAAAGGGGGCATCGCGATAGAGCTCGTCTCATTCACCATAATCGCCGAGGAAGGCACGAAAGGTGGGGACTTTCGCGGCGATCTTCGAGCGGACGCCAAGACATGCCTCGGCCTGTGGAGAAGGATCGGCGGGAGGGACCTGTCGTCGCCATTCTCGGCGAATGCGGCCGTGGGAGCCTCGGCACGGTGGGATCGAAGCATCTCCAGGGTCGCCAGGGTCGCGACCATGAGCAGCCAGATCGAGAAGACAGTAGCCGCGAGGCCGATGAAGATCCCGGCGCCTGGGAGAGAAGAGATCGCCAGATATTTCACGCAAAAAAGGGAGAAATGGAAGCTTACCCATTTCCTTGCAAGAATCGTGCTACAGGAACGCGAAATTCATGGCCGCACTGGCAGAAAAGAGCGTTGCTGAGAGATCGAAGTACAGCCGACAGGTTAGAATGTGCATCGTGCGAGGCCCCAAAACCCCAAACTTTTAGGGTTCTAAGTTAAAATCCCGGATCTTTGAATGCCAACCGTTGATTATGACGGACCGTCGATCTCTAACGAACTTATTCCAAGAATATTCGAAGATTATAAAACAAAAGTGAAGTTCTATGAATATTCTATCTGATCATCTGGTCTATATTTAGCAATGTCTTAATATGGGTAAGCTGACGTGGAAATCAAGTCAAAATTATAGGCGCACGCAATCATCCATCAAAGCAGTAAGGGCTCGTGTTAGGGTTTTCTCTTCGATCAATCGATCGCGCCGGGGAGAGATGGAGGTCGATAGGAAGCTGAGAATGCGCCAGCAGATCCTTCTGGATCATCTGCGGCCGTCGTCGGCGCCTCGCCCCGTCAATCTTGTGGTAAATTTATTTCACCCAATTGGAGCTGCATTCTTGACGATCGGGCTGTCTGGCAGACGTCCATTTGCTCCGCTGGGGATTCTGCCGCGTATCACAGGACCACCGATTACTCTGACGATGTCGTTGTTGTAGCGTGAGTTTTTCCTTTCTTCTCTTCAATTTTCTTGTCTGTGCGACTGGAATTGCGATTTTTCGCAGTGCCTATCGGACACCCATTTGTAAATCCAAGCGTGGGGGTTTTAAGGATACTTACCCCGAGGATTTACTGACTCCCGTTCTTAAGGTATCGTTTTCAATGGTGATTAACTTATCTCGGGAAATGTTTTCTCTAGGCTGTTGTGGAAAAAGTTGGCTTGAATCCTGCTGAGGTTGGGGACATTGTTGTGGGAACCGTGCTTGCTCCTGGTTCTCAGCGTGCAAATGAGTGCCGGATGGCAGCATTCTATGCTGGATTTCCAGGTTTATGATTTTTCTTTGCTTTTTATATAAGTTGTTTTTCTTTCACCATTGAGACTAACTTTTATGTCTTGGTAGAAACTGTGCCAGTTCGTACCGTGAACAGACAATGTTCTTCTGGCCTCCAAGCAGTAGCTGATGTTGTGGCTGCTATCAAGGCCGGATTCTATGATATTGGTGAGTTAGAATTATTAAAACCACAGTTCGCTTATGAAAAACGTATTCAGGTATCGGTGCTGGATTGGAATCCATGACGGCAAACTTGGTGGCTTGGGAAGGCTCGGTGAATCCAAAGGTTCGGTGTCTCAATGCTTTTCTGTGCCGGATTCAAGCGTTCGTTGATGCAGGTGGAAATGAACCAGAAGGCACAGGACTGCCTTCTACCAATGGGAATTACATCCGAGAACGTTGCTGAAAGGTACGGCGTGTCCAGAAAGGAGCAAGACGAAGCTGCAGTAAGTTTATTTATAGTTATACGTGAACCGGTTTTGACCATGTTATCTCAGGTTAGATCTCATCGTCGTGCCGCAGCCGCAACAGCGACTGGAAGGTTCAAGGATGAGATAATTCCGGTTCACACCAAGGTAACAGTGTGAGATTCGAGTGTAGGTCTACAATAACTTTTGTTTGCCAGCTTGTTGACCCGAAAACCGGAGAGGAGAAGCCTGTTGTGATATCTGCTGATGACGGTATGCGGCCCAATGCGAACGTCGCAGACCTTGCAAAACTGAAGCCGGCGTTCAAGAAAGGAGGCACCACCACTGCCGGTACGAACGAAGTGCATGAGCTTCATGTCTTCATGAATTCTGTTCTTTCAGGAAACTCTAGCCAAGTCAGTGATGGTGCGGGTGCTGTTCTACTTATGAAAAGAAGTGTGGCTATTCAACGAGGACTACCAATTCTCGGGGTGTTCAGGTGTTGATCGTTTAAACTACAAGAATCTGGGAATCACTTTAAACATGGTGCAGGAGTTTTGCTGCTGTGGGCGTCGACCCTGCCGTCATGGGTATTGGACCAGCGGTTGCGATCCCGAAAGCTGTGAAAGATGCTGGTCTGGAGATAAGCGACATTGACTTATTCGAATTGAATGAGGCTTTTGCATCGCAATTCACTTATAGCTGCAAGAAGCTCGACTTGGATATGGAAAAAGTGAATGTGAATGGAGGTGCTATAGCTCTTGGCCATCCTCTGGGTGCTACAGGTATGTCCTCACCCATGCTTTGTGGCATAAACCTCATTTCATGATGGCTGCAGGAGCTCGTTGTGTCGCTACTTTACTTCATGAGATGTCGAAGAGAGGAAAAGACTGTAGATTCGGAGTCATATCCATGTGTATAGGTAATGAAGTCACGTCTTTCATTCCAGCTTTTTGATTGATGTTCCCAACTTTTGCAGGTAGTGGGATGGGAGCCGCTGCTGTGTTTGAGAGAGGAAACGCGGTTGATAATTTGAGCAATGCCCGTCCTGTCCAGAATAACAGCTTGCTGTCAAAGGACGCTCGATAGACTCCAGGGATGGTATGAAGCATGTTCTTTCGAAATTATTTAATAAGACAGGGACTTCCGTATATAACATTGCCTTTTACAAATTTGTTGTCTCGAGCAAAGCGAGCACAGGTGTTTTAAGCCCACCATGGGTTCTCTCCCGTTCTAAAGTCCGTCTCGGGCCAGAGGCTCAAAATAACTTTGTTGCTGTCGACGTCACAGTGAGCCAACGCTAGTGACTGCAAGTTTTCAAGTACACAGGTTAGCTCCTTGATTCATATTCTTGGTTCTGAACTTACCAATGGTGCAGGACCTCGGACGACTCTTCCCTGGTTGTTGTATTGAGAACCGTGGCAAGGACAGATAAACTTGTTCTCCGCTTTGTTCCAGGGAACCACACATCCGAGATGCGTGCAAACAGCGTTAATTGCATATGGTGCCAACGTTCCATCGTTCTCAACAACGAGGTAAGTTGGATCTCCCTGAAAAGCACAGTTTTTATTAGTTCGAACGAAGCAAAAAACGTTTTTTGGGTTTTCGTTCTTACCTTCAGGCCTTGGCTGAGAGTTCTATCGCCAGGAGGATGCGATGCAAGCCATTCGGTGACCAGAATATCATTCCCAATGGCATCCTTAGCAACAAGGCCGGTGCCACTTCCGCCGGAGCTGATTGGAAACGAGAGCTAAGACCGAGGAACTCGAAAGGTTCATCGTACCCGGGTGGAACAAAGAAGTAGAGGTACGGTCCCAGGATCCCGACTGTTGGCAACGAGAGTGCTCCCAGTAGCAAGGTGTTGAGGAGCTGCCGCTTTCCCATATCGGGCACATTGGCCGGGACCGACGCTGCTTGACACACAGTTTTGCATTTCCTCGCCTTGCCTCGGCTCAGCGGCAACAGAGGCGATGACGAGAAAGAACAAGAGGGCGAGTGAATTCCATTCTGTGCCGACGAGAGCTGCTTCAAAACAAGACAATGGAATCAATCGACCCATCAAGCATTGCTGGTTTTCTATCTAGTGTACGCACCTTAGCTGCCGAAGCCACGCTAGAGATGGTGGCGGCCATCTTTGTTTGTGAGAGCGTGGTGGCGCTTGGCTCGTGGTCGCCACAAGCTGCGTGTGTGGGTGTGGTCTAGCTTGGTCGGGGTGAGAGAAGCAATCGCGGCCGTTGGCGGTGGATATTCATCCGACGTGTGAAAGGACGCATAACATTGTTAAGGGGGTGTAGCTCAGATGGTAGAGCGATCGCTTCGCATGCGATAGGTAAGGGGATCGATGCCCCTCACCTCCAATCTTTTGTTTTTAATATCACACTAAAATTGATTTTCATTCATATATTGTTTATTGTTTACATGGCGACTAATAGGACCATAGAGCTTGTGTTAATATCGGTGAATCAAATCCAACCACAGCTTCCCCCATAAGAACCTTTGTGTGTCTTTCTTGAGGGCATAGGGCTCAATGCTCTGTGGATTACTAGTGTCTAACACAAAATACTGAGATGCCAAGCAGGCTTGGAGAAGTATCGCCATGAGAACTAAGAAAGCTAACTTCTTTAGCTCTTGCTCTTGCTTGTGTGCCAGTAGCGCCATCTCCCACTCGAGTGAGCCTTCTTCCAAACCTAAAGTTGGGCACTGTCTTTTATAGTGAAACGAAAAAGGATTAACTGCGCAAAAAGGTCCTTACGCATTAACAAGTTAATTAATCTTCAGTGTTTACCTTTGGTCTTAGAACTTTGACCTCAAGCTTTTGGAGGTGGCGTATCCACGAACATCCAAGTTCTCTTCAGGAGTTCTTCCGGGTAGCGTGTTCCAGCCACCTCCTCTTCGGGGACAGCAGCAGCGATCTCGTCAATCTCCGCCTTGGAGAGTTTGAGATTTAAAGAGCCAAGGTTCTCATCAAAGTTTGCAACTTTTGTTGTTCCTGAAAATGATGCAACAAAACTTGAGCAAGAGAAGAAGAACAAGGAGTAACGCTTCACCTGGGATGGGAACAACGTCCTTGCCTTGCGCTAAAACCCACGCCAGTGCTAGCTGGCTTGTGGTGCAGCCGTGCTTGCTTGCGAGAGCGGCAACACGCTCGTACAAAACCTTGTTCTTCTCAAAGTTCTCGCCTTGGAATCGTGGCTGTCGAACCTGAAACAATTGGTCCCTGGCGAAGTTAGTAAATTTCTCTCAAAGAATTGCTACTCCTTACGAGACGGGAATCATTGCTCTGTAGCTTCTCAACAATCGCTTTGCCGGAGAAGAAGCCTCGTCCCAGAGGGCTGTACGGAACGATTCCGATACCAAGCTCTCTGCAAGTATAAATCAACATAAAAATGGAAGAACTTTAGCAACATAATCCTAGCCTGCAGGTGGGAATAATTTCTGCCTCCACATCACGGGTCCAAAGCGACCACTCCAGCTGGACAGCAGTGATCGGATGCACCGCATGAGCTCGCCGGATGGTGTCGGCACTCGCTTCCGACAGTCCAATGTACTTGATCTTCCCTTCTAGGACGAGCCTTTTAAGCTCACCCATCTACAAAGCGAATGAATGCTTCACGACGAATAGAAACTTACCGTTTCTTCGATGGGAACTTGCGCATCGACGCGGTGCTGATAGTAAAGGTCGATATAGTCCACTCCAAGTCGCTCGAGGCTGGACTCACAGGCTTTGCGGGCGTACTCGGGAGTTCCATTCACAGTCGTGCCTTTTCCCGGAACGTTTCCAAACTTTGTGGCAAGCTGGACTTTCTCGCGCGGGAGATCCTTCAATGCCTGGCTCGGGAAGCAAAGAAAAGCTCCGTGAATCTAAAGAGCTAGAGGGAGAAAGGAACTACCTTTCCAACCAGAATTTCATTCGTGAACAGGCCATAGATGTCGGCCGTGTCGAAGAATGTGACCCCGGAATTGAAAGCGTGGTGGATGAGGACGATCCCAGCGTCATCGCTCGTCGGTGTGCCATAGAAAGCGGAGAGGCCCATGCATCCCAGACCTAGAGCCGACACCTAAATCGATCGATGAGAGCTAGAATGTTTGGATTCAATGCAGCCAGCTAGTTACCTCTAGGCCCTGTGCGCCCAGCTTCGTGCGCCTCGACTCCATAGCCGTCGGTCGATTGTTTGAATAGCAAAAGCCTCTAGTTCTATTTGAATTATAAGTAAATTATACTTATTAGTACTAACATATTTAATTTAAGAGTACTGGGTGCACTTCTTTCAAGTTTGAACTGAGCAACAAAAGATTAAAACCACCTCGGTCCTAGAACTTTGACCTCAAGCTTTTGGAGGTGGCGTATCCACGAACATCCAAGTTCTCTTCAAGAGTTCTTCCGAGTAGCGTGTTCCGGCCACCTCCTCTTCGGGAACAGCAGCAGCGATCTCATCAATCTCCGCCTTGGAGAGCTTGAGGTTTAACGAGCCAAGGTTCTCATCAAAGTTTGCAACTTTTGTTGTTCCTGAAAATGATGCAACAAAGCTTGAGCAAAAGAAGAAGAACGAGTAATGCTTCACCTGGGATGGGAACAACGTCTTTGCCTTGCGCTAAAACCCACGCCAATGCTAGCTGGCTTGTGGTGCAGCCGTGCTTGTTCGCGAGAGCGGCAACACGCTCGTACAAAACCTTGTTCTTCTCAAAGTTCTCGCCTTGGAATCGTGGCTGTCGAACCTGAAACAATTTGTCCCTGACAAGTTGGTAAACGTCTCAACGACTTGCTACTCCTTACAAGACGGGAATCATCGCTTTGTAGCTTCTCAACAATCGCTTTGCCGGAGAAGAAGCCTCGTCCGAGAGGGCTGTATGGAACTATTCCGATGCCAAGCTCTCTGCGAGAAAGTTGAGAAAAATGGAAGAACTCTAGTAAGAACATGATCTTGATAAAAAGAGCTTGGGTTGAGACCAACCTGCACGTAGGAATAATCTCTGCCTCCGCATCACGGGTCCAAAGTGACCACTCCAGCTGAACAGCAGTGATCGGATGCACCACATGAGCTCGCCGGATGGTGTTGGCACTCGCTTCCGAGAGTCCAATGAACTTGATCTTCCCTTCTTGGACGAGCTTCTTGAGCTCACCCATCTACAAAGCCAATGCTTCAAGATCAAAACACGGAACTTTCTGCCTGGAAAAATGAGAAACTTGCCGTTTCTTCGATGGGAACCTCAGGATCGACGCGATGCTGATAGTAAAGATCGATATAGTCCACTCCAAGTCGCTCGAGGCTGGACTCACAGGCTTTGCGGACGTACTCGGGAGTTCCATTCACAGTCGTGCCTTTTCCCGGAACGTTTCCAAACTTTGTGGCAAGTTGGACTTTCTCGCGCGGGAGATCCTTCAATGCCTGGCTCGGGAAACAAAGAAAAGCTCCATGAAAGCAAAACAACTACAAAGAAGCAAAAGAAGAAGAAGGAAAAGCTAATACCTTTCCAACGAGAATTTCATTCGTGAATGGGCCATAGATGTCGGCAGTGTCGAAGAATGTGACCCCGGAATTGAAAGCGTGGTGTATGAGCGCGATCCCAGCGTCATCGCTCGTCGGCGTGCCATAGAAGGTGGAGAGGCCCATGCATCCCAGACCTAGAGCCGACACCTGGGGGGAAATTGATCCATGAGAGCTGAAATTTTTGTGGCCGCGATCCCGTTAGAGTACCTCTAGCCCCTGCGAGCCCAGCTTCGTGCGCCTCCACTCCATAGCCGTCGACTGTTTGAATACTCTAGACAAAATTTAATTCAAAATTTGAACTAATTATCTGGAGATGAGGGGTATCGATCCCCTTACCTATCGCATGCAAAGCGATCGCTCTACCATCTGAGCTACACCCCCCGTACGTCCTTGTTTCGTACATTTCGTTCTTAAGCTAACTTAAGCATGGCTATGGCTAGGACAGTCGTTCTGAGAGAAGAACTTAAGCAACAATGATCTCTTCGTCGGCAACAACTTGGATTTGTGAGCTTGAGATCTAGGACGAATTTTCAAGAAGTTTGTTCCAGGAGGGTGAGAAGGAGCGGCATTCCAAACTTCGGCTGGAGGTTGAGAGTAACGTCGGGTTCATGCCGATAGCTGCCGCTCAGCTCCCAGTTGAATCTCAGCAGCACCATCGCAAGGACCGCTTTGGCTTCCGTCATGGCCAAGCTCTGCCCCACGCAAGTCCTCGGCCCGCTTCCAAACGGCAAGTATGCCAGAGGATGGCTGCAAGCCGACTTGATCCCATTCTCGAACCGGTCGGGCCGGAAGTCGGCTGCGTCTCGGCCCCAGAGCTCTTCGCTGCGATGAATCGCCGCGACGGGGACGATCACTTCCAGACCCGGAGGAACTCTGATATCGCCCAGATGGTTCTCTCTCACGCAGCTTCGCCCGATGAGTGGCTGCGGCGGGAACAGCCGGACTGCTTCCATGAGGATCAGCCCGATCGTCTTGAGCTTGCTGAGATGTTCCCATGCAAGCACGGTGGAAGATAACGGAGATGGCGACGGCGAGGAGGATCCGAGGACTTGCGAGACTTCTTCGCGAGCTCGATGCTGCCACTGGGGATTGAGAGCCAGCAAGTAGAGGCTCCACGACAGCACCGCTGCGGTGGTCTCGTGGCCGGCGAGGAGAAAGGTGACGGAGTTGTCGAGAGCTTCTTGCTCGGTCATGGCGCTGGAGTCGCGGAAGATCTCGACGAGGCGATTGCCGTGATGATCCGATCGAGAAGTGGAGGCCGCCGGGACGAGAACTTCCTTCATGAGGCCACGGATCCAGGCCTCGTCTTGCCTAGCTTGCGTGAGGAGCCTCTCTTGCAACCATCTATGGATCCATGATCAGATCGAGAGCTTGGAAGGTTGTGGAAATACCTGTATCCCGGGATCACGGCAGCAAGACCAAAGACGAGCTCTCTCCGGCCGTGGTGGTACCTCTTTAGAGTCTGGAAGAGCGTTCCAGGATCGGCTCCGAGCTCGGTTCCAAAGACGGTCTTTTGGAGAACGTCCAGAGTTAAACCCAGGAAGAATCTGTGCATGTCGACGATGCCGCTCGTCTCGGCTTTGGCTGCCAGTTTTTCCAAAGCGAGCGAGGTCGATTCCACCATATCCTGTACCTTGCTCTGGCAGAAAGCAAGAAAAAAGAGAAGAAAGCCTTGGCATGCGCACGAAAGAATGCGATGGAGTTTAGCCTACCTTGATTTCTTTGGTGAGCAAGGCAGGAGCGATGAGAGACCGCTGCCTGGCCCAGTCATCGCCGCTGGACGAAAACAATCCATTCCCGAGGATTCGGAGGACTCGTACAAACGATGGCTTTGAGTAGCAGCTCTCCACCCCTGGATCGTTGGTGAGAAACGCTCGAACCAGCGAGAGATCCGAGACGACCAGCGTGACCATCTTTCCTACGGTCACGTAGAAGACCTTGGGGCTGGAAGCACTGAGCCCGCTGAGCGTGTCCCAGCATTGGAACAAGCGTCCTTGGGAGCGGACGAGCTGGAGAGAGCCCAAGAACTTCTAAGCAACTGGATGAACCGAGCTCCAAAATTCCGCGATGGGCAGTCGAGAAGACTTACCCGACCCGGCCTGGAGGAGTCGCCATAGCTCTCGACACTTTGCTGCTTACAAACCTGGACAAGAGCTCGAGGGAGAAGCACCCATTCCTTGTAAGTCGGCAGGACGTAAACTGTGAAGATCGCCACGAGAAGAGGGAGAGCGGCCGCGAGCGATGGAACAAACTCCATTACCTAGGATCTAGATACAAAGCCCAAAGATTTTGACTTTCATGATCAACTTTCGCGAAGAAGGAAACCATTTCCTTTCCCAGTTAGTATGATTGACGTAGTGACAACTATCACAGTTCCAGATCCGGCCCGTGCAAGCGCTTTGGTGGTAAGTCATCTCGATTGATTTCCATAGTAACTTTGTCCTCAGTTTTCTCATCACAGTTGACGCAACCCGACACAAGCTCATGGAAACAGTCGATGCAATCCAAGAAAATGAAAGCATGGATTGTAAAACAAGGGCATGCAAACGCGTCGCAGCATTTGCCCAGACGCGGCATTTATGTTCGGGGGGAAGCACATCTATTTTGTGCGTAATTCATTTTTGGGTTGGTCCTGCCAACCCACTCCATTGATGAAAAAGGGTCCCCAGCAACGTTATTGTCATATGGGACTACAGCGGTGGCAGCGGCCAGCAGCGGATCAGAGGGAAGCACAGCCCAATTGATTTTTACACAGGACTGGCAATCCAGCCATGGATTGAAAGTGGCCGCGGAGCCGCGCAGCACCTAACTTGGACTAGTGCTACTACTCTCGCAGCACCAGTTGGATACTTTCCCGTGGCCGGGCGTAAATGAGAGTTGAAGGGTACTGAATGCTGGTCGTTGACAAAGAGGTATTTTTCGTTCTTTTGGAACAATGAATGTTGGTTTCTTTACTCTCTCTCCTTTCTTTTCTCCCACTCAAAGAGAGTTTTTCTGTGTGTTACAGGGACTGGTGATCTGCAAACTCCTCGTCTCTGTATTTTATACCGCATCGCGAGGCATACTTTCCTTGTTTTAGGGAGCATCTGGCGAGCTCCACTCTCAAGTTCGTCCATTTGAGAGAGTCAGGTCTGCTTCTCTTTTTCTCTTCTCTCGTGAATGGTGACTGATTGATTTGATCTTTGAGTGGCAGCAGCAGCAGCGGCTAGTTTCTGTGCAAGACCCACGGGAGTTTTCTCTGTGTCAGGAGTTTTCTTGGTTCTCCGTGCACATTATGGTGAGCGTGGAGTTTAGCGATGGCGTTGCTACTCCCATGATTCCCAATGGACAAGCGAAATCGAAGCCTTCAACTCATGCCACTGCAAATGGAAATGTGGGAGCAGTGCTGGAAAACGGGCATGCAAACGGGAGTTCTTCTAATGGCAAAGCAAAGGACGAAGCTAGCAAACACCAAACTCTTGGTCACAAGAGCCTCCTCAAGAGCGACGCTCTCTATCAGGTACTTCCAAGTTTCCAAATGCTCTGATCTCTAGATTTTCTCCATTGACGCAGTATCTCCTCGAGACGAGCGTTTATCCGCGAGAGCCAGCGTCACTCAGAGGATTGAGAGAGCTAACAGCAAAGCATCCATGGTTGGCTTTCCCAAACTCATTATTTTCTCCTCGAAATACCTCTGATTTGTGCGAATTCTCTCTCAGGAACATCATGACCACTTCTCCAGACGAGGGCCAGTTTCTAAGCTTGCTAGTAAAGATCATGAACGCCAAGAACACCATCGAAATCGGCGTCTTCACGGGCTATTCTCTTCTCAGCACAGCGCTGGCGCTGCCAGAGGATGGAAAGGTGAAAACAAAGTCCTGGATCGAAGTTCACGACTAAGAAGTGTGTGTTCTACACAGATCATAGCAATGGACATTGACAGGAGCAACTATGATTTGGGATTCCCATTCTTGCAAGAAGCAGGAGTGGACCACAAGATTGATTTCCGCGAGGGCCCAGCTCTGGCAACTCTGGACGAGCTCGTTCAAAATGTAAGCCTTCACGTTTTAAGATCACTTCTTTCTTTCCTGTGTTCCTTCTTTCTCTAAAAGTAGATGAAGCTCACCATCCTACTTTTAACCTGCCAAGCTCGCGAAGTAAAATACCCCTGTTCATAGAAAACGAACGTTTCACTCTTTTCTTTATACGTTCCTCTAAAAGAAAAACGTTATCTTTGTACTCTCAGGACAAGAACCATGGCTTCTTCGATTTCATTTTTATTGATGCCGACAAGAACAACTATCTCAACTATCACGAGAGAGTAATGCAGCTCGTCAAGATCGGTGGAATCATCGGCTATGACAACACGCTGTGGAACGGAGCAGTGGTGGCGTCCGACGATGAGCCAATGCGCAAGTACGTCCGGTTCTACAAAGATTTCGTCAAGGAGCTCAACAAAGTTCTCGCGGCGGACCCTCGCATCGAGATAAGTCACATTTCCATCAGCGACGGGATCACGCTGTGCAGACGCATCGTATGATAAAAACCAAATCGCCACCTACAGTTCTTATTGTTCTTCCACAGATAGCTCTTCAGTAGCTCGTTAGGAGAATCTTTCCACCTCTCGCTGGTGTCTGCAAGAAGAAGGAATTATTTTGTTCATAAGCTTCGGACTGTTATTTCGAAGTCTCAATGGAAGGAATTCTTCTCTTACCTGGCTCTTGACGATGGCTTCCTGGATCTTCTCCAGCGGGAGCTTCTCCCCTGTCAATGGAGTGATCACCTGCTTCTCCAGGAGCTCCCAGATCTTCGCACCGAGCTTCTTTTGCTCGGGGACGCCGAGCTTCGCGATCCAGCGGGTCAAGTGGAAGCCACGAACGCGGACGTGCCTAAAGATCACGTCTGGAGGGTTTGCGCTGATGTCCTCGCCGTCCAAGAGCCCGTACACCAAGATGGTGCCTTCGTCCCTCACTGTCGTGCTCACAAGCTTGGAAAGCCAGAAAAGAAAAACTTATAGGCTTCCATGGAACATTGTATGATACCTTTGTGGTTTTGCCTCCCAGGCAATCGGTAGCTCCATAAACCATCCTTCCTTTGGTTACCTCTCTCACGATCTCGAGTACGTTTTCCTCTTTGAAGTTGATCACTACGTTGGCCCCGAGCGCTTTAAGCTCTTCTTTTTGCTCGTTTCGCCTAACCAAGTTGATTGTCTGTTGGATGGAACTTGAGAAATCACCAGTAGTTTCAAAAGAGGAGCAAAGATCACCTTGATGCCTTGGTGATGAGCGATTTGGATAAACATTCTCCCAAGCACAGATGCGGCCGCAGTCTGCAGTACGTACTCTCCCTCTGGCACCTTGAGTGATTGGAGCATCGCATATGCTTCCAAAAGAAGAAGAAAACGATAGATATTGACCGACTCAAGGACAGTAGTACCTGTCCACGGATTTACGTAGTACTGCGCAGCAACTTCGTCCGAAATGGAATCCGGCACCAATGTCAAGTTCCTCGGCGAAGTTACCATGAACTCTTGCCAAGTTCCTCCGTGTCCAGTGTGGAACACCCGCTGCCCCACGCTCAAACCACTCACATTTGCTCCAACCTGCGGCGAAGGTTTCACTCAAAGTTCTCTTCGGAGAGAAAGCACAAGCGCGTTACCTCGTGAATCGTGCCCATTCCTTCGAAGCCAGGGACATACGGGAACTTGTAGTCACCTGGATAGATGCCCATCAACGAGACCACATCGGAAGGATTGACGGGGCGGCAGAGAACCTTGAGCAGCACCTCGTCTGGCCCGGGCTTTGGAGTTTGCACAGTCGCGACTTGGCACACCGAGACTGGGTTCGCGGGGTTGAATCCCATCACTTGGATTGCCTTGTGCGCCATCACGTTGGAGTGGTTTTTTTGCGAGATACAGCTTGAGACGAAGAATGAGGAATATATGCAGAGCAATGTCACTGGCCTTTATATGCGTGCGGACGATCAAACGATAACTCAAAGGAAGTCTTTTTCACCCTGGCCAATGGCCACAAACTATTCTCTGGGCTTTTGCGGAAGGAGAGCTCCTTGCAACCTCCTTGTCAAAGCCAGAAAACGTGGCAACAGGGAAAAGACAGCGTGGCAAGGGCTAGGCCAGAACGTGGGAATCCGCACGTTGTAACGGGAATTTTGTTGTAGCGTCAGTACGTGGGAATCCGCATGTTATAGCGGGAATTCTTTTTTGCCACGTCGAAGCCATAAAGCGTGGCAACGGGGAAAGACAGCGTGGCGGGGGCCAGGCCAGTACGTGGGAATCCGCACGTTGTAGCAGGTTCTGTGGGATAACCTCAAACCTTAAATCAAGTGTGAATACCCTTATTCAATCCTCACGCCTAACACTCGTGGAGAACCCTCCCTGATTGTCATCTTCCGTCTCAGGTCCCGGCTCCGCCGTCTCGGCCCTCAGTCCGGCTCTGCCATCTCGGGTCCCCGACCACCAGTCGGCTCTGCCGTCTCGGCTCACCAGCTGGCTTGAGCCGGGCCAGTCAGCCGTGAGCCAGGGGAGCTGAGAGAGCCAGGGCCACGAGCCGGTGGGCCGAGATGGCAGAGCACTGGGTACTCGGCCACTCCCCTTGATGCTTTTTTCAATTCCTCAATTATTCTAGGGTGAATATGAAAGGCTAAAAGTTTGGGTTTGTTTGTTTGTAATCATAAATGAAATTTTGAATTTTGTAATGGGCATCTATGAATATATCCTTTAAAGGTGTTAGTTCTTTTTGGTTTAATAAGGGTTATTAATCAATAGTCAATAAAAACATTAACATCTTTGAAAAGGGGGTGAGTATAGTGTATGTGATCATGAAATAAGATTAGATATATTATCATTAAGGGGTTGTTAGTCAATAGTTAATAAAAACATTAACATCTTTGAAAAAGGGGTGAATGTAACATACGTGATCATAAAATAAGATTAAATATATTATCACTATGGATATTTGGAACCTTAATAGATATATGAGGATAAAATAATTTGGTTTTTATTAAGCAATTGCCCCTTTTCTACTTGGTTAAGAAGAAAGATAATATGCACTACAATAATAATGGCATTCATATTGCTTAGATTCTAACTTCAAGTAAGAGAGGAAAACATATGATATAATGGATGCAAGCATTGAAGGATTAAATTTTGGAACAAAATAAAGATTTGAAACCAAAGTTGATGATATTGAAGTTGAGATAAATGCTATAAGGTATGATATTTAATAAATTAATATTATATGCTTAATTAATTATAATTTTTAGGGCCAAATTCAAATGTGAGATCATATAATGCATAAGAAGAAATTGGCTGAAGCATCTAATTCAGAAAGTCAAATGAAACTTGTATGAGAATATGGACCAACTTAACAAGTATCATGTTCCATACTATTTACAGCACTTATTTTGATCCTAGAAATTTATAAACAGAAGTTATGGAGCTGATTGAGAAGTTTGAAATTGATTTCAAATATGAAGAAGCTTTTCTTAAAGATTTTTGTGCTGAATGGAGAAAACAAGTTGGTAAGTAAATATATTATAATACTGAATAATCATATTTTTATTATTAGGTATATGGGTTGTAGCTGCAGAAAACTTTCCACATGCAAATAAGAAAAATCAAGGCTTTTCACACTAATATAAAATCTATCCTCTTAGCTGAGAAGAAGTATGGAAGAAATAGAAGAATGGATTGGGTGATCCACCAACTTATAATTAAAGTTCATTCTAAATATTATTTTATTGTTCATTGCAAGACTTATCATTTTATTTAAAACCTTCAACAACAGAAGTTGATTAACAATGCTATCATAAAGGCTCTTGAGATTAACAATTCTTAAATTACATTTGATGCAAACAAACCTAATATAGTATATATTCAATCATCTTTCAATCCAAGTGTTCAATATCTTTTTTTGGGTACAAGTATAGACCACAATGATTGGGCTATTTTAAGCAGTTGCACTAAATGCAACTAAACGCAACTATTGTAAACACTAAGCAAAAATATCAATGCTTCAACAAGAATAAAAAAACTCTTATAGTTAGTATCATAGCTGAATAAAAGGCATGATATATCCTTACTATAAAAAGATATAGAAATACTATATCTAGAAGAGGTATAATAAAATTCTATAATAATTATTTAGAATTGTGAGGTCCAAGTGTATGGCTATAATGCCGTATATTAATATTAGTGTAGTGGGATTTTGGTAGCTATCGGATTGATTTTAATTCGGACCACTCGCTTTTATATATAAATTAGGGTTTTTGGGCTAATTGATATATACCTATATTCCAAGCACTCACATTCGTGGAGGTGAAGGGCACTTTTGATTATTCTTGAGGAGTTCTTAAATTTGGGATTTTGGTTTAATTTTTTCTATTTCCTTTCTTTTGTTCCTTTCTTTCAGGATTTTGGTTTAGATTTAACTTTTTGCATTGTCTAGATTTCCTTTTTCTTATAGTTTTTTTGTCATTTCTCTTCTTTTGCTCTTTCCTTTTCATTCATCTTTATGGCAGATCAATAATCTCCTCCTTTTACTCTGGAGTAGTAGTTGGTATAATTGTTTGATGCTATGTGCTTGCAATTGAACAACCAAACTCAGTTGCTAGCAGTGTTCACGGCATGTGGTACAGCTCCTCCTACTCTTGGTGCCAATCCTCATGTTTGGCTAGAGTTCTTTCGTGGGAATTCTAGGGATGATGTGTATCATTAATTCAATCACTTCATGGTGATTGCCATATATCATTCTTGGGATGATGCTCGACGTTTGCATGAGTTTCCCACGTGTCTCTAAGGGACGGCATTGCAGTGGTACAATGGTTTGAGCACAGCCACTCGTAGGGATTGGAGTGTTCTCCCAGACATCTTCAAACGCACATTTGGACATGTCAACAATTGTGATAAGGCCTTCCAATAATTGCATCGTCTTCGCCAAGGGCCATTTTAGTCAATGATGCAATTTGGCATTCGTTTCCGATGTCTTTTACTTTGTGTGGAGCTAAATATATCAAAGCGGATCAAGTTAAGAATGTTGTGGCCAACACTTAGTCAAGATCTTGTCGGACTTGTGCATGCACTTGGTCCTACCACCCTTGACAATGCTCTTCGTTTGGCACAACATTATAATATGTTGCCTCTTCCACTTCTTGCTATATGTTCTTCAGCTCCACTTTTTATAAGTGATAGTTTTATTCCAATGGAGGTTGATGTTGCTGCTACTCGAGTTCAAGGACAAAGGCGAGGCCATGGTTGTGGCCGTGACGTTCGCTGTTGGGCATGTGATGAAGTTGGTCACACTTATAGGTGTTGTCGGCATTTTCCGGATTTGCGACCTCCATTTCCTAGGTGGCGACCTTGGCGTCAAGAACGTCCTATTGGTGCTGCTGCAGTGGAAGGTCTGGACACTAAGATGCATTTGGGAAATGAGGAGTCGCATGAGTAATGGAGGGACCTTGCGCGAATAAGTCAGTGACCCTTTTTTTTTCTTTTGGGAGTATCATCAAGGGGTTCACTTGGCACTAGTTCATCCAGTGTTTACTTTCCAAGCTCATTTTTATAAAAAAAGGTCTCTTATTATTCTCTCCGTGTTGGTTGGTGCAACTTCGAGTTTATCTTCTATTGCTCAACCTATTGCTACACATTGCCGTCTACACTAGTGTTGTGTAGTAGAACTAGTTTTCATTTTTTATAGCAACGGCCATACACATGCATGTGCACGGGATGAGGCAAACCTAGTTATGCGTGTGAGTGATGTCGAGCTTGGGTTGCAATCATTGCAGGTGGTGTTGAGTCAAGCTTTTGACCTCATCCTTGGTATGGATTGGTTGCAGCACAATTATGCCAAGTATGACTTTAAGGCTTCTCCCCTTTGTCTCATATTTTTTTATATTTCATCCATTCCTTTCACTTTCGTACCTCTTTGTCCCTCTGCTTCCACTTCTACTTCCATTACTTTTGTCCCCCAACTTCTTCCTCCTATGTTTTCATTTTGTTCTGCTCTTCCCTTTTCCGATCCCTCCGAAAATCATTGTGTTGTAGCAATTGATTGGCTTATGAAGGAGTATACTAATCTCTTTGAATTTGACCTATCATCTGGGGCCAATATTGCCACACGTTATCCGATTCCAGAATGCTCGTCCAATCAAAGTTCTTATTCATTGTCAATCACCCAAAGAGATCCTGAGAAACTTATAGCTGTTCTAAAGTTCCCTACTTCGAAGTGTGTGAATGATGTGAGCACTTTCTGGGCAAGGTGCAGTATCTTGGTCGTTTTGAGGATCATCATTCTGATCTCATTGCAACGTTGCGAGTGTTGCTGAAGTCATTAACATCATCTTTCATCTGGTCTTTAGATTGTGAGTGTGCATTCAAAAATCTCAAAAAGCTATTGACGACTCCTCCGGTTTTGGCATATCCTAACTACACTTGACCTTTTATTTTGCGTGTGGATGCTTCTGATATTAGTCTTGGAGGTGTCAAGACCCCTAACAAGATCAAGACTGGAAAATGCAAAAGACAAAGAGAAAAGCTAATGGAAACAAAGAAGAGGCCTTAGAGTGGTATTGATTCAAATTGTGGAGAAATGGAACAAGGCTAACCTATATATACTATAGGTTGATGAAGCTCCACCACTCTTGGATCAAGGACGGCCTAAATATAGCTGAGGTCGAGGAGGCACCACATCATCATCAGGAATGTGGCTCAAGACTCAGGAATCGTACAGGAAATCAGAGAGTCAGGAATAGGGAAAAGTCTCGAGAGTCAAGAATAGGGAAGTGTCTCGATAATCAGGAATGTGGTCTGCAGGTCAGGAATCCAGCGAGATTCAGGAATGTGGTATGAATTGGGGGATTCCTGACAACACCCCCTCCTCAAGAACGAGTGGAACGAGGACGTGAATGAGAACGAAGAGGAGGATGAGATGAGATGAGGCGGCGAGGGATGGGAGATGGAGACAAAGAATGAGGACTGGGATGAGAAGGATAGCGGCAGTGGAAGTCCT